AACGACCCCGTTGCCTTTTTTTGCGAAGCCTCTACCATCACCAGATCGCCAGGCTCGCGACCCTCCTCCAGCCGAGTGATGCCCAACCTCTTGCCAGGCAAATGAGCCACCACCCGGGCTGAAGGTTAGTAGAGGACAATCCCGGCCAGAAAACTGTGCGGACATCCGCCTATCATTTGGGCAGACCATTTTCATATCAGGTTTTGATTATGACTCAAATGGGTATGGGTCTTAGTCCATGTTTCCAAAATCACGTCCACCAAAGGGTCCCTGGTTAAAATTCACCCTTACATGAGCCAGGCCAAAACCTGACACAGGTTTTAAGTAGGCATTAAGCCATAGAACCCCCACACACACACACACACGCGCACACACAGCACCACAAAAGGGCTTCGGGACAGGCATCCTGCTATTTGGGATGGCCAGGAAAACGACTGGAAAGGGGACCCTTATGCAACCCAAAGCAAGGACTTAAGGATTGGGGGTTACCTTTGAGCAACCCAGCCTCAAGCACTGGATCTTTGACATGGAATTCAGCTCGGAGCGACATGGCAGAAAGCCATCAAGCTCGGATTTAGTGGGGCGTCGGGTGAAGCTGTGCTTCACATCAGTTGCGCAAGGCATAGCTACACAGCAGTGCCAGCAGGCTCAAGGCCGTTCAATGAACAGCATGCTGTTTTAGATTGCCACTGTCTCTGAGCCAATGGAGTCCCTTCGAAAGTGATAAAGTAGCGCTGGGAATCCGACTTGCAATGGGATGAACACTTCACGCGCCATTCTCAAGTGACAGGATCACGGCCATCCTCCAGCCGGCCCATGCCACCTTTTCCGCAAGGCAGGGCCCAGGGGAAATGGATCATCCCGCCGCATCTTGCGAGGGCCCCGGGTTTTTCGGCCCGCGACGCCAGGCTCACGTTGATGTAGGTGCCACTCCAACTGCCATTCGTAACATTGGGAGTGTGGGCAAGGGCATAGCGTCCCAGATGTCCTTTTTTTTCTTCTTTTTTTCCGTGGACGCTTCTCGAAAAATCAGGGACCTGTCCACGCTTGTTTCTGCTGCTTTCCGTTTGAACCTGCCCAACAGAACCGGATTTTTCCTGCTTCACAGATCCCAACTCGCTGCTTCGTATGTCCCACCCTGCATACGCTTTTGCGCCCGTAGCGCGAAGGCTCCTTGGCCCCCTCGGAGCACAGCCCGCGGGTTTCTGGCGAGCGGCTCGCTCGGTTACCGGTTGCACCGGGCCTTGTCGTGTTTGCGGCTGATAAGGGTGCGTCTCAAAGTAGGGTCATCAAAGTTAGTGGTTTTCCGTTTCCCTTTAATAACAGCCCCAAAGAAGGGTACCATCAAAAAGACAGCCCCACCAGAGGGTTGTATCCTGTGGTAAGTGTTCCCGATTTGGGTTGTTATCCTTCAATGCAATGGCCCTGGTAAACTGCCAGTTTCTTCTGTATCATTCAACACCTTGGGTTCAGCGTGATGAGCCCATTTGGGAAGCTGCATTTCAATACCCTTGAGCACAATCATCCTCTTTGGATCCCACCATTCTGGCATCCATGCCGATTTGGGTGGGTGCCTTGTTGGCGATTCCTTTTCTTTGATTTATCAGGACCTCCCCGATCACCGGAAAGTGAACAAAAAGGGGCCGACGCTGCTCCCAATAGAGCCCAAATGAGCCGCGCCAAACAACCTAAGCCATTTCAGTAGACCAGCTTGAGATAAAGCCTACACGGATGTGTTCTTTTTTAGGGGGCCCCCCAAATGGCTGGTGACACTCTCGGTTTCCCTTGAGCAACCAGCAAACACCCCAAAGTCCATGGGCTTTCAACAAGCGCTGAGCGGTTTCCCGTGAAAGTTGAGAACTCTGTTATTTGGAATTCGGAAGGCAATTCTAAACAAACACATACAAATTGATATATATATATATATATGTATACTTACATATATATATATACACATAGAAATGATCTATCTAATTTAATGGAATCTAATCTAATCGTATCCTATCCTATCCTATTGTATCCTAGCGTATCCTATCCTTATCTATCTATGTATCCATCTATCCAATTTATCTACTCTATCTATCTATCTGTCTATCTATCTGTCTATCCTATCCTATCCTATCCTATCCTATCCTATCTTATCTTATCTTATCTTATCCTATCTATCTGTCTATCTATCTATCTATCTATCTATCCATCCATCTATCTATCTATCTATGTATCTATCTATCTATCTATCTATCTATCTTTCTTTCTTTCTTTCTTTCTTTCTTTTTTTCTTTCTTTCTTTCTTTCTTTCTTTCTTTCTTTCTTTCTTATCTTTCTTATCTTTCTATCTTTCTATCTTTCTATCTTTCTATCTTTCTATCTTATCTTATCTTATCTTATCTTATCTTATCTCATCTTATCTTATCTTATCTTATCTCATCTTATCTTATCTTATCTTATCTTATCTTATCTTATCTTATCTTATCTATGCTACGAAGTCTCTCTAAATACTATAGATACATCAAACATAAGATGTCCTCCTTCCCATTGTGTGCCCAATGAGGAGTCGGTGGTACAGTGAGAAACGCATCGGGCAATTTTCATAGGAGCGGTTGACCTTTCAGCATTGCAGACTGCAGCTTTCTCCACCCTCCTGGCCTTCGGGTAGGAATGATGAAGCTTCTTTTTCCAGATGAAGGGTTTGACTCCAAAAGGTCTATTGTGTGGTTTGACACGGCCAACGCCACTTCGCGAAGGCTAGCTGAAAGTACTTGTAAATGCTTCGAGCTGCCCGCCTCGGCCAGGGGCTATTTGATTTAGAGGCTTCCTTTGATCTCCGTTCTTACTTCAGGCGTGGATCAGCTGAAAGTATCTGAGCCCAAGGGCAAGGGATTTGGGGCTGTTGACTTTCCAAGGATTTTTTGTATGAAGGCTGGGCCGCCCCAAGAGCGAGGTGGGGCTGGGGTTACATGAATGCGTGGCCATTCGCGTGGCTTTGCTGTACCGGCTAGCCTGAGGCTGGCCAAGGGCAACGGCCAGCAGCTGGACCCGGGTTTTATGAAGATCTCTATGATCTAAAGAGGGATCTGACCGCTAACCCTGTTGGCCGAGGCGAACTAGCTAGACATTTGCTGAAAACACCGCTCGCAAAGCCCCCCAAACCATTGAACGCAACTCGAACGAATAAGCCCTGACTGGGATACCAGGGAAGATCCGCCAGATAAATTGATGTGGTCCTAGAAGGATTGTACTTTAACCGTGGCTTAAACACGGGGGTGAATCGATTTCCCAGTTTTGCGACTCAGGTTCAGTTGGCTGCCGCCCCTGGGGAAGCGGGAGCCTGAGGTTTCCGCCGTGGGCTCCCGTGGCCAAAGCTTTGGCTCGTGGATGGTTGCTGGAATTGTTTGGCTAGGCAGGAGGAAGCAGGAGGGGGGTTGTTTCCTGACAGCTGAAATCTATGGGGCCCAGCGCTCCGAAGGTTTGGTGCGACTCCGCCGTTTGCGGTTTTGGGATACCACCTGGGCTTATATTTGTATAGACACATTTTTTTGGAGGCAGTTGAGCTTCAACAAGGGACCTCTTCTTTTTCTGACCTCCGCGCTTTTGCGTTTTTTTGTTCTTCTGGCAATTCCGGATGGGAAACATCAAAGGGCTTCTTTCCGTCCAAGCCCCCTGAGTTGGTACGGCGGAACCCTTTTAGCTGTTTTGAATCGGTTCTTGGAGTTGGTTGTGAGTTGGTACCCTTGTGCTGGGTGAGGGGACGCCACAGTGAAGCCCAACAAAAACAAAAGGAGAACCATTTTTCTTTTTGGGAGCCACTGGGTTCCAGAAGGACGCACCAGATCTCACGTGGATTTTGTTCACGATGGGTTTTGGGACCCCACCAGGTGTGAGTGGACAGGCGGAATGCCTGTGCTCCTTCAAGACCCGTCTACTTTTGGGACCTTGCCCACCAGTTTTTTTTTCTGACTCCGTGCCCCAAGAGGCTCGGAAAAGGCTCGGGTGCGGCTTCGCGCCGCGGGGGGTTGCTGAGGCCTTTGCAGGGTTGCCGTTCTTCCCCATCCCTGCGAGGCGAGTCCGGACCCCACGGGGCTCGAAGGGACTGGTGGACGCATGGGCCCCGAAAAAAAACCGCACCGGGCTCAAGTCTTTGGGTTCGTCTCAACAAAACCGAAAAAGTGGTACTCGGAAAGAAAGAGACACCCCTTTCTTGCACAGATAGGGCGTTTTAGCTAAAGTAGTCAAACGGCACCACACCCCCTTGCTAGGCCTCCTTTTGAAAGGCAAACTGCGATGGTTGTTATTGGCGCTGGGAGCGGGTGACAAGACCCACCACCTGCTCAAGTCCACACACACACAGAGACACGCATACTTGCCCGCTCTTGAGTGTGACAGAATTGGGTCAGAGTTTGGATGCATGCGCTTTCTTCGTTTGCTCCTAGCGAACAGCCGGCCGGCAGTTCGGGTACGTATTTTTGGGCCAAGCTTTTGCATCAACTTTGCATCAGGGTTGGGCAAACATTGTTTAAACAACCAGATCCCAGCCCCCCAAAGCGGGACCAGGAGAGTGTTTAAACACAAAGTGTTTAAATCATTGTGTTGACTCGCTAGCCCGGGTTTGCATGTAGCCGGCTCCCAAAGGGTGAAGGTTGTCCAGTAGCCGTGTCCGGCTTAAGGACAGATAGGGCATGGGGAGAGGCATCACTGGTGATATAGTCAGGCGGAGTGGGCAACGGAGGCATTAATTCTGTCCTTATTTTTTCCGGGGACCACAGAAAAGACAACAGGGGCTTGTTTACTTTAGGTGCGTGTCAACATATATAGGGGACCCCCAAAAAAGGTGGTTTTCCCTTTTAGTCTCCCTTCAAAGCAGGATGAAAAGGGTACAAACTCCCAAAACCATACCCACGTAAACAAGCACAGTTGTAAACTTGTTCAGTCTCCTGCAAATGTATTTCTAGGTAGACTAAAACCATGGCGTACATTGACCGGCCAAGTAGCCAGGGCCTCAGGGCCCGGGTCCCTCCCATCGCTTCGGCCCATGAAGCGCCCTGCGTCCGCCGGCACGGCCGGCGCGGCCGGCGCCGCGCCGCTGCTGGGCGCCGGGCGCCTGCTGCGGCGGCAAGTGGCGGCGGGGCGCCTGCCGGGGTTCATGAGCTACGTGCTCCAGGAGACGTGGCCCCGTGCTTGATGCTTGGAGTTGGCCTGCCAGCTTGGATTTTGACCAAAGAGGCACGCCGCATTCCTTTTTTCAGGCTCCCCCCCCCCCGGTTTGGCATCATGCTTGTGCTACGGAGACGGTGAGACCTGCTTGTTGATGGTGGACAATTGGGTTACGAAAAAGAAAGGGCAATAGGGCCATTGTGCCAGGTCGCCTCTTGTTTTTGCCCGTTGCTTTTCGTTTTTCTCCGGATGGGAGTCATGTATCTTGCCTTCTTCTTGCTCCCTCTTGCTGTTTGTTGGTATATTTTCTCCCAGCCTATGGACTTGCCGTACTTTCTGAACTCCCTCGACTTTGGGCTGGGACCTCTTTCAGTGCACCCCAAAACTTGTGCGCAACGCGCCAGGCACATGGCGATGCTTTTTGAGAGTCGCTGCCGGCAACCCTAACTTCAAGCCCACCTTAGGCCAATCCTAGACACACCCTAAACCAACTCGAACCAACCCACTTCAACCAACCCTAACCAAGCCTAAGCAACCCTAAACCGACCCTGAACACGCCCTAAACACCTAGACCCTAAACCAACCCTAAAACCAACCCTAAAACCAACCCTAAACCAAACACCCTGAACCAACCCGAAACCAAACCTAAACCCTAAACCACCGTAGCGCGCACGTAAGCCAAGCCGAACCACAGCCCCTCCCCTTTTTTTTAGGAGGGGCGGCTGATCCACTTCGAGGCCTGCGGCTTCGCGGACCTCGCGGCGCGCGTGCCGCTGCGCGAGCCGCGCGGCGGCCAGGTGTTGGGGGTTTGCGGCGCAGGCGATTTCGGCGGTTTTTTGGCTTCGGACGGGGGCGCTTTTTGCTTTTTTGGTTCGGGTTTATGAGGCGACAAGCTCGCCTCATGGGGAAATCGGGGAGTTGCCTTTTGCATGGCTGGTTAGCTTTTTGGACTTCGGCCTAGCGCTTTGCAGTGGGCGAGCTTTTTATAGAGCAGACAAACAACCCGAGCCGTGCAAAAGGAACAAAACAAATCAGACACACACATATATATATATATATATATATCAGCCAAGGGAGACATAGGGTCTTACGCGTTTTGGTTCTCTCGAGTTGCTTTGTCGGAAACAATTTCAGTTCTGGGTTTTTAGGGCTGAAAATATAGAAGTCTAAAGGTAATTTCAGCTGTTTTTTTTTGTTAAAGAACTCCTATCCAAATACATTTTTAATGTAATTAGGTTTTGAGTATAATTTAGGAAGGACATGTATCGATTAGCATTTCTATCTTGGAATAAGATTGACATAGGATACATTTGTCCAAACATGGTTTTGGTGAAGCACATAGTTAGCATTCAATCATGCCCCTCCTTTTGTCAATCAAATACAATTTCATTTATCATCAAACTTATCCTCAATTCCAACTGATTGTTCATCAAACTCCTTTGGGCAAAGGGACTTCCTTTTCCGAAAACAATGTGGATTTGCACCGCTCAGGATCTGCAGCCATGGGGTCTCACGTATTGACAACCCGACAACATCTAAACGAATAAAAGGGCATTGCAGTGCAGTTCCCTACTTCTGACTTTCGATTTGCCTCAAATCTGCACCATTTGCCCACATATTTGTAGCCTTTGGGGTTTGAATTGGTTGTATGTCAGTGGCCCACGCAACGAAGAACGCCTAAGCTGAACCAATGCGGGTGTGTTTGTTTGTCGGAATCGTGGTGTTCCTTTAGGTTTCCGCTTAAAGCCACAAAGACAAACACGATGTTTGTTGGGGCAAAACAGACGGTGCTGGTCACGGTGCTGTTCGGTGCTGGTTGGTGCTGGCCAGGCTGGCTTGTTTGGCGCGTGGCTATGGCGCTGGGTGCTTTGGTCAGTTTTCATGTCTGAATCTGTCCCAGGTCGACGCTCTTTCGGCTCTACTCCCAGACCAAGCCCTTCCTAGTGGCGGGGTTTCTGGTGCTTAGGGAGCGGAGCCTCGTGAGCCTCGAGGAGGGGCTTTCGGGGTCTTTTTGGCGGCGGGGGGTACGGGTTGGTTTCACGTGTTTCTGCCAAATTGATTTCGGACCCCCGTTAGGGTTGGTGTTTAAGGGGAAGCCGACACGAAATGTTTCGGAACGCATTTTAGCTGACCAGGATTTTGAGAAGTTTCCGACTCAAAGGCCAGCAATCCACATACCTTTCAGCAAACCCCGAGCCTCCAGATGAAGATTCCTTTCGAGTTCTTGCGAGGGGGGTGTCAGGGATTGCCCTTTGAAAGTGCTTCTTGATTCCCGGCAAGAAACACCGTCAAAATCGGGCTCGCCGTTAAAGGCAAACTCTTTCAGAATCATTCGACATTGTATTCATTCGGAATCATTCCACTTAAAGGCACTGGCAAACCTGCGGAGGACCCCGTGGCCAAGTTCTTGCCCGAGTTCCAGAGTGCTGTGGTGGGCCCCGGTAGGAGCCGAGCCGATGGCTGGCCTGGCTACTGTTCGAAAACGTGCACTTCCATATTTTTTTTTTTGCCCCAAGGTGGACTTAAGAAGACCCCCCCATCAAGTCTCCGGGTTTTTTGAGGAATCTCAACATTTGGTGGACCTAGTTTTCCACAAGGGGTTGGGTTGACAACCAGCCCTTGCCCCACCTTTGGCACCGGAAGAGTTCAAGCTGCATTCTGGGGTTTGTCCTCAGGGCCGTTTTGAGCGCCTGTTCGGCGATCAGGGAATGACCCCCCGTTTTGGGGGATCCTTTCTAGACAGGCAGCCCCCCAGTCGGATGGACCTTTCTTGCTGGGGGCGTTCCATTACTCACCGAGAACCACAAGCGCAAAACGAGAAGGGCCACAGCGCATGGGAAGAGCGGACTCAGCGAGGGTTTTTTGTGGGAGACGTTGCGCTTCATGGCAGCGAGCTTCATGGCGAGGAGGCCTTTGAAGCGGGCCATCCTGGTGCACGACCTTCTGGCGCACACCAGCGGCCTGGGCTTCGGCCCGGGCTTCGGCTATGCGCCGGAGAACGCCTACGAGCGCCTCCGTCTGGCCTGGTCTGGCGGGGCCTGGCGGGTCTGGCGCGGGGCGGATCTTTTCTCTCTTTTTAATTGGGGAAGGTAGCTGGACCCGAAAAAGCCCTCAAGCTAAGTACGCTGGAACATGGGAGATTGCCCCAAGATGGGGCGATCTTTGGTAGTTTGAGGGTGCGGGCTGAAGTTCTTTGTCTTTTCCGTGCCTTTAGGTTAGCATCAAACTGGTGTTTTTTTTTGCGAATTCCCTGCCAAACGCTGGAAGTGCACGTTCGTCTCCAAACAAGGGAACCTGTAACATGGTGCGCTTACTGTTGGTTTCCTTTTCAACCTAGGGCTCTCTCAAAAAAGACACCCAAATGTACCCAAGTCAGGTTGGTTGAAAGGCACACCAAAAGGAACTCCGCCATCTTGGCTGTCCGAATCCTTATTTTGACGCGCACCTACCCGAACCCCCCCGGTCGTCTCGCCCGGGGACGAAATCCAAGACGTTGCGAGGTCCACCTACCTGGACCTGGTGAGGCGCGTGGACGGCGGGGAGCTGCGGTCGCTGGGGGAGTGGTGCGCGGCGCTGGCGAAGCTGCCGCTGAGGTTCCAGCCGGGGAAGGACTGGGGCTACGGCTGCCCGGCGCGGTTTTTGGGCGGTTTCTGGGGTGGAGGGGGGGGAGGGCGTTGTGGACGAGACCAGCTTAAGTCGTGATCACAAGTATGTAGCCCATCAACCTCAGACATGGTCAGGGTTCGGAAGTTGTGGGGCAAAGAGCATGCGGGTTTCTTGGGGGAGCCGGGTGGGTTCTGCGGGTTGCATCTGGAAGGTGAAGCCTTCGCATAGGTCTCTCTAACGAGATACCGAAGCCGAACATGGCGGGTTTCCTTTTCGGTTTCCCTTGCAACAACACCCACAAGACGTAAACAAATCACCCACACGTGTTATTTGTGACCTGACTGGATGAGTGCGACCCCCCGTTTTGGGGGGATTAAAATAGCATCACCTTGAAGTCCGACACAGGAACTGGTTCGCCGTATCTGCATGGGCATTGGATTCTCTGGGAGTTGGAAGATATATCCCACCCAAAGACTCCTCCAGGCAGGATGCGTAGTAAAGAAGGCCAGGGGAGGGACCAGGGGGCGGGTGCAGAAAGACCAGCGAGGGAATCTTTGCTCAGTCGGGAGGCACTGCCCCAAAGTCTGAATTGACCTGCGTTGGATGGTTTCTTTTGGAAATCCAGAAGCTCACCTGGAGGTGTTGAAAGGAAACCTAAAGGAGATCACTGTGGGAACCTCAAGGCAAACATGGTAGAAACTGGGACACCGCTGGGCGCTCGGTTCAAGGCTTCGCCCAAGATCGCTTTCAACTGCCAAGAGGCGTTCCTTTTTTGCTCAACCTCGTTTCAAGAAAACGGAGTGGACGAATCCTTTTTTCTTGGTTTAGCCCATTTCAAGACAAGCCCACGATTGAACCCCTGGTGTGAACCGCATGGGGTTCTTTTGCCGTTGGCGGCCTCCAAACAAGATTGAGGAAAATCAGGCGAAAAAGACAGGACATCGGTGGAAGCTCCAGGAAGCTAGAGGAACTACCGTGCAAATTTTGGGGTGTTGAAGCGGTTGTTGCCCGAAGTCTGGGCGACATATTTGCAGCCAGCCCCCAGCGAGGGCCCAAATGGTCCCAGTCGAGGATATAGCTCCGACGTGCTCGGCCGGCTGATGGAAGTCGTGGCGGGGATGCCTTTGGACCAGTTCCTCAGAGACTCGACATGCGGCAAGGTGAGCCTGGGTGTCCTTTCCGGTGGTCAGTTTGGCGCAAAATAGATGGGTATGAAGTTGAATGGGGTAGTGGGCATCACGTATGTGGGGATTCATGTCCACCAACCACTTCTGAGGTCGTTCGCGTGAGTTTGGCTCTAGTCATTTACCAGCGCCATCTCCCGTTCCTTTGAAGCATGATTGAAGTGGAGGGGCCTTTCAACAGGATGGTAGCCGTCCAAAACCCTCCGATAGTTCGCTTCCACTGTTGGAAAGAGTGTATGTCCTCCAATGGCAACCAGCGACGGACCAAACCAGACCTGTTCCGCGGCAACCCTGTTTGGAGCCGACTGGGACTGTGCGCTTGCCTTGTGGGCTAACCATGCAGGATGAGATCCGGTCCGAATCTTCAGCAGTCTATGGTCTATTTGGGAGAGACATGGGCTGACTCACCAAAATTCCAAGGGGACTCGCTACGTTTCCCATGGACGAATACCACAAAGCTGACTGTGGCTCACATGTCAGGCAGTCACAGCTTGGTTTAGATGTGATTGGGGATGCTCACCGCAAGGAAAGGAGGTGCTGGAGCCCTTGGGCCTCACCGAGACCTTCTTCCAGGCGGACGGGATGGATGCGAGATGCGTCCGGCGCACGAAGTCCGGTGGAAAGTTGGTTCCCTTCTTTTGGACAGCGAGGCTCTAGTCGTTGCCACAACATATTGGTGGTGTGAAAGGAACAGTCCCTGAAAATATTGCGCTGCTTAGAGTATTTCCTGTTGAAGTTTGGCAAGGGTTCTCGGAAACGTCCGCATGACAACCTGTTTGGCCACAACATCAACTTGGTTATTGTGGAAAGCCGTCCAGGCATAGGGGTGGAACTGTGAGATTTCACTTTTAAGAGATTTGTCCACCTTGCTGCCTGACGCAAATGCCCATCTACAACAACGGCCGGCTGCCGGCTCGGCGCCCTCCTTGTGGCATTTTTTCTTCGCGCTGCGAAGGAAAATCCGGTCGTGAGACACAGCCATCGAGCTGGAAGGCTGTCTGATCTACAAGCGAACTTTGCAGTCATGGCAAAGATAAGGGGGCAAGGTAGTGCACATTCATTCCGAACCAAGCAAGCAAAACGGATAACCCCTGCCTTGCAGGGTGTTGAAACACCTAACGCTGCACCAGAAAGCAGCGTTCTGCTAGAATGCACAAGTTCCACTTGCGTTGCAAGAAGCACTGAGATATATGAAGGGGAGGCAAGGCACATGGCGCCCCCAATAGGGGCCGCCCAATCTGAATAGGGGCTAATAGCGACTCATGGGGTCTATTATGGGAGCTTCGGTACCTGGCCCAAGACCCGCAATCGTTCGAGCCGAGGACTTCGGAGGCCCGAAGGTCTGTCAGAACTGGAACAACGGTGATTTGAGTAGCGAACTCCGCAATCCGTTTTTTCCGCACTCTCTCCGAGATTGCGGGTGTCCTGAAGGGACTGAGGCAACAGGGCGCCGGAATTCAAGGGAGCCTATGCGGATTCTAATAATCGGGTTCCAGCTTGAGCCCAAAGGACAATCATGTCGACTGTTTGTGTGGCATCGTGGGACCCATTTGGGTGTGTCTTCTTTCGAGGGTGCCCCTTTGTCGTGTTGAAGGGAAACCCAAAGGACACCGAAATTCAGTTGGGGGCTCTGAAATGGAAGGCACGCCCACTTAGAACTCATACGAGAACGGTCGAGCCAAGCGGGTCATTCCCATCAGGTGCCACCCAGCCGGGCCAAAGATTTGGGGGCGCTGTACAAGCGAGAGCCCTGGCGACTCGGATGGAACCGAACCTCTCCGAGCGAGGAGAGCCGATTTGTGGAGAGTCAATGAGGGCTGTTCGCAAGACATAGTGTGTCTCAAAGGGTTCAAGTTTGAGGCCGTCGGCGTTTGGAACGGCCCAAGAAATTCACGTCGTTGTGGGTTCGCGGCTTTGGACACTGGAGTTGATTGGGGTGCCCGCGCCGGCCCGAGTGCCCGACAAGGCGGGGCTTCGTATTTCCACACTTATCTTCTGGATTCCGGGCTCCCAAGGCCAGTTAGACAGTTGGATGATGCTTGGGTAAGTGTCCCCTTGACTTCCCCCCAGAAGACGACCAACTGGCATCACAGGGAAGTGGTTTCCACCCTACTGTTCACCAGCCCTCAGGAACAGGTTTACAACCCGACCAACATCCCCAGCGCAACAAGACAATCAAGAAGGGAACCAACAAGACAATCCAAGAAAGCCTCAAAACTAGACAGCCAATAAGAGATTCCGAAAAGAGACGCCAACAGTCAACCAGCAAATACAGGCAACCAGACCTTCCAAAAGCCCCAGACATTCCAAAAGCCCCGAACATTCCAAAAGCCCCAGACCTCTCAACAGCCCCAGACCTTCCAAAAGCCCCAGACCTTCCAAAAGCCCCAGACATTCCAAAAGCCCCGGACCTTCCAACATCCACAGACATTCCAAAAGCCCCGGACATTCCAACAGCCACAGCAAAACCGCCATGTTGTCTTAAGCTGCTGCAAGGCACGGCCAGAGCAGCGCGGTCCACTTCGTCACCTGCGACGCTGGGGGCAGCGGGCGCCTGGCGAGCCCGTCGCAGCGGGTGCGCGCGGAGCCGAAGGTGGACACCTCCACGGCCAGGGGGGGGGGGGGGCAGAGGGGCCATGGCTCGTCTTTTCTGGCAGAAGCCCTTGATGGCTTGCGGGTTCTCGGCGAATATGGACTATGTCAAATGGCCCCTATAAACCATGCCTTGTGGTTTCGTTTGGGGGAATCCCCTTCCTGTTCATTCCCAACACCCGGATGGTCATTCCTTACTAGTGTGAGACTGCGGATGGGCAACATCCATTTCGAAGCAGTTGGGACCCCACAACTGGGAGAACTCACTCAACTGGTGCAGGAGATTGTCCATCCACGGAAGGAGGTATCCAGCCATAAAGCGGCAAACCTCCACTTTCGGGGAAACTCCCAGCTACTAATCCGCAAGGTTGATTGATCCGGGGTCTGTGCGCGTGGCTGGTCGACTCTTGAGGCGTCGTTAAAGGCACATATCAAAGGCGACCACCAATTCAAAGCCTGGATCTTCGCGAGCGCAAGCACCAGCAAGTCGGTTGGTTTTCATGAGACACCCGCAGGTCTTGGCTACGGAGCGCTCGGTGTTTCTGGAGGGCGAGCAGATCACTTCGGAGGTGATCCAAGGAGGAGGCTGCGTGTGCTCCGTGGCCGGCGGCCTAGTGAGCCCCTCGCCCGATCCAGCATGTCATCAAACACGGTTTTTGCTTTGCGGTTTTTTCGCCCCGTTTCCCCTCTGTCTCGACTGTTTGGTGGAAAACGTCCGTTGGGTTGGGGGGGGAGGCATCTTTGGTTCTTTGTTCCTTTTTTTGGTGCCTTTTTTTTGTTGACTGAGAGATCTCTCTTTGTTTTTTGGGTGCTGTATTGTGTGGATGATACATACATAAAGATGTATATCAATATGTATGTATATGTCTATATACATGTATGTCTTTTGCTGGTTTTTTCCCGTCTTCGGTTGAATCCATCCATTTTGAGGCAGCGCTGAATTGTTGGCTCGGAGTAGTTTTTTGTTTTTGTTTTGTTTTTCTCCCTGGCCCGTGTTGGAACATGGGAAGCGAATGGGGTTGTTCACCCGACCTTTCCGCGGCCACTCTGCTTGGTCGGAGCGGGCCAAAGTGGGCTGCCGCACCCCATGCGAGGCAGCCTCCGAGACTGCGGGCGGTTCTTCCAGATGCTCGCGAGCCTCGATCGAGATGGCGCAGCTTTGGGGGTGTGACTCTGGGAAGCCCAAAGGGAGAGGGTATGTCGGTTTTTGCACAATGTCAAAATCGGCATTTGGACCCCCAAAATGCGTGGCTTCTTGGTTTCCCTAATCAACCTTGAAAAGGGCACCCTATTCGCATTATTCTGTTTTCGGTGGGGGGGGGGGGAACCTTTTCGGCTTGGTTTGAAAAGGGAAGCCAACCAGTTTGGAGGCTCCCTCCATTTTGAGACATATGCATGGTGTCAACATGGAGATTTGGACCTCAAACAAATGGCGGTGTTCCTTTTGCTTTCGACCTGAAAGCCAATCTGAAAAAGGTGCCCTGAGAAAGACGCAGACTCGTCTTGGAGCATGTTTTCTGGTTTCACAAGTTTTCCCGTTCCGGGAGCACGGGGCGTGTCGATTAGATGCGCAGTTTGGGATACGGACTCAACGAATCAGTGGCGTCTTTCTGTAGGTGTCCCTCCAAACGGGGGGTTGCACGGGGAGACGTGCCGCTGGGCTGGCTGGTTCACCGCCGAGCTGTGATGTTGATCAACACTTGTGATTCCTGAAGCAGCCGGCGGCTTGATCTGCTGTACATCTTCATGTTCTCATGAGTTTGAGTCTCCCGGCTCATAGGAACCTTCCCACGCACGTGACCTACCACAGGTTTCCAAGAACCAATCAGCCAACGGTGGCAGATCTAATTCAAACAGGCCCCGGGGAGACCATGCCCCATAGACCTCCAAGGAAGGTGTATAGGGGACCCCAACATTTTTTTTTTTTTGGTTTTCCATTATAAGCAAGCGTATCCTCAAAAACAACCCACCCTTCTCGTGCTGCTTTGGTGGGGATTATTCGTGGAGTCTGGAAGCAGGGACCCCCCGCCCATGCAAGCCAGAGGGCCGGCCAAACTTCAGATCTTCTCATCAGGGAACTCTAGAAGGCCTTCTACTGAACAGGATAGGGCAATCATGTGTGTAGCATCCGAAAGGAGCCCGTTTGGGTAAGTGTCCAAGTAGCACAACCCCTCATGTTTGGTGGGCTTTTCTTTTGGATGTTGCTTCAAAACTCCCAAACGGGGATACCCAACGTCCCATTTGTTCGAAGCCACGGTCACAGGAACGAGGGGGAGTTGGATGGCGTGCGGCTGCTGAGCACGGAGAGCGTGCAGCTGCTGCAGAGGGATTGGCTCAACGACTTCACCTTCGAGAAGCGCCGGCGCCCGCGCCCGAGTTGCATTGGTGGAGCCTCTAACCCACAAAAGCATGGAATGGAATTGGCGGGCCGGGGGGGGGGCTAGTCACGGTCATAGAGTCATAGGTGTCCCTGTTCGGTTGGTTTGGTTCAGAAATAGATGGGGTTTAGATGGGGTGAAAATTCCATTCACGTATGTTCGTGGTGCTTCTTATGAATGAAGGAACCCTGAGTTTGGTGGTTTGTTTTTGGTGCGGATTTGCAGCCTGGTTCTTGTTGAAGGTTACGTTGGGAAACCTTTCCCAACCTTTCGAACCATCAATCTACGCCTTCAAAGGGAAGTCGACTAAAGTTGAAGACTTTGTTTAAGATTGGCCTTTTCAGGGATGTTCGAAGGGGAAATACGGGGTTGCCATTTTGGGGTCCCGTCGGGACCGTGGGGTTACGGTTTTATTTGATGTACATCCAGTTGGACCTTTCAGGGTCCAACTCGATGCGGGGAAAACAATCCGCGGGGCTTATCGGATCTCCTCGGTGTCCCCGACCAATTTTGGATGCTTAGGGTTGACCATTTTTCTTACTTTTTGGTTGAACAAAGCTTGGCGGTTCTCCCACTCAAAACGTGTAGCTTGAGCAGCAAGAAATCAGATGAACCTTGGAATCGCCGAGGAAACAATGGGATGGTTCAATTCGGGGTGATTCCATTTCTCATTCTCCTATTGAACTAGCATTTGGAAAGAATGGATCCACTAAGAGCTCTTCACTTTTCGCAAAGGGACCAAACAGCGCCAAGAGAAGTGTACCATCCCTCCTAACCCCCCAAGCTTGGTGGTGTCCCTTTGGCCTTAAGCTTTTCGGGGTTCCCTCCAAAAAGACCACCCCCTTTCGGTTTCCCTTTCAGTTTGGCTGGGGAAAAGCTTTCCAAAGCTTCGGAGCTTCGAGGCTCTGGGTGTGGAACTGCCCGGGCATCGGCTTCTCGCCTCTGGGCCAGCTGGGCGTGGCGTGCCCCGGCGCGCGGCGCTCCGTGGGCTCCCAGCTGCGCACGGTGCACTGGGGCGGCGCCGGCGGCTCCGGGCCGGGCCCGGAGTCGGCTCGGGGGATCCCAACTGTGGTCTGGTTGACACAAGTGCCCAATCTAATTATCTAGTTTCATAGGGTTATAGTCACTATAACCCTATGAAACTAGATAATTAGATTGGGCACTTGTGTCTGAGGCCCATAAATGCATGATAAACATATTGGTAGAACCAAAAGGTGCTGCTCACTTTCCACCGCAAAATTGGGCAGCCCCCCCAAATGGGCATCAATCAACCAGGTTTCTCATGGATTTGGATTTTCGAGCACCAAAGCCTTTCGTAGTGAAAGCCCGTTTGCGCTTCCTCAATCTTCCTTCCGTTTCTGGACTTTGGACTTGCCGGATCATTGTGGTACTGTAAACAGAACGTCTGTGATGGGGGATATCAACAATGGGTGGCTCTATGTGGGCGTGCCCTCAAGAGGGTTTGGACTTCCAAAGTGGTTGGTTCCCGCTTGTTTCTCTTTGAAACCAAGGATTCCCTCCAAGCATGATTCGATGTTCATCCAATTAATCACGTCATGCAATTTTTGGGGCGCCATCACTAGTTTGTCCAGCTGCAACAGGCAGGGCGGCCCTTTTCCGAGTTAAGCCACAAGCCACACCTAGGCGGCAAACGAAATTCTGCCGCCCCAAGTGTGGAATCCTTTGCCATCGCCGATTTGTCGTAGAACTTCTGTGCGTGCACATTCATATGTATATACATATATACAGAAAAACAATCTGGGGGCGGGTCAAGCTCCTTTTGCCTGCGACTCCGAGGTACATGATCAACTGGCCAAATCGGCTGGTGGTTCTCAGCTACACGGGCTGCGTCTTCGACACCGGCACCCAGAAGGTGCTGTGGCGCGCCGCCTTCGGAGCCCTGAGGCGGAGGCGGAAGGCGGCGAAAGCGCGGACAACGGCGAAGGCGAAGACGAAGGCGAAGCTGAAGACGAAGGCGTCCGAGGTGAAGAAGGTGAAGAAGGTGAAGAAGGTGAAGAAGGTGAAGAAGGTGAAGCGGGCTGCCTGAAGGAGGGGGAAGCCGGTTGTGCGGCCAAAGGGCCGCAGAGATCTGCGGGAGACTCACACTGCGCGCTGGGGGAGTGCGGAGCGGAGTCAGGGGCTTGGGGGCTGGCCCCGAGAAAAAGATGCAGTGGGTCAAGAGAGCGACAGATCAGCCCTCTCCATGGCTCGGTCAACAGGATCCTTCTCATGGAGCTGGCAAGGGCCTTCTTCCTAATTGTCAAAGGAATATTGGGTTTGAGGGAATCCCGGAATCCCCACTTTCTGTCATCTTGGGCATGGGAACCAGGACACTTTTACTTTCCGCAAGCAGAGGGGAGTTCTTCGGGAGGTCGCAGCTGGCACAGCTTCGAGCCCGTGAGCCCAGTTCGATGCAGCCATCCCAAGCCAGGAGGTTCCTAAGGGAGCCATGACTATGGTCCATGCTCGGAGTTTTGGCCATGGGTCACCCAGAATGGAACCCTGGTAACTGGAAACATGGACTAAAATCTGTGGTCCCCTGGTGGTTTAATTTTGACGTATACCCATATGAGGCTTGGTCAAGCAAAATCTGGCAGTCTATGGTCCATTTGGGTTTGGGACATGGGGGAAAGACGAGCTCGGCACTCGCTAAATTCTGGGAGCTTCGCATCCGCGGCAAAAGCGTTGGCCCGGGAATCTTGCAGCACAGACTAGCACGAGGATGCCAGCAACTTGTGACCCTTGCGAAGTGCTCAGAGGTGATTTGGTCAATTCTGTCGGGGACCTGCAGAACGCGCCCCTTGCAAAGAAAGTCTGCCGAATCCTCACGGCCGGCAAAAAGGACAAGTTCCCCTGACAGGCAACCGCGGCACAGTCGCCCAGATCAGCCGCGCGGCTTTCTCAAAGACGCCAGCAGTCAAACTGGTTGCCCCAAGGACGTCCTGACAATTGAACAAGAAGCAATCATGACTTGCACGTTGTTCGGCCAATCAATATGCTTTTCCGTTCTTGCTTTTCTGCGACCGTCCCGGGGCGCTGGCTACGGGCTTTCAATCAATCCGTATCCAAGACGCAGGTGAGTTTTGGCAGGATGTTCTTTTAAAAGTGGTGGGTGGATACGAATCCCCACCTGAATGATGTCCACCACAGGGTTATTTAAGTTATTTAATTAGAACCCCTCCCCATGGAACTGGGCCTGTCGCATGAATGCCAAGACCGTCGCTGGATGACGCCAAGCCTGGCACCCTTGGGGCCTTGGGGCCTCGTGCGAGGGCGATGGGGCGTGAGGCACTCGCCAAAAAACCGACCAAATCAGCAAAGCGGGTTATCCCTTCCTGTGGATGGAGGAAATCCGTTCGCAAAACTTGGAAACCATGGGACACCATGGGACACCATTGTTGGTTGGTATTTACAGGGGAATCATTCCAGGCTTTCTTAGGTGGTACAGGCTTTTGTTTCCGTCCAGTCGGAAAGCACCTCCCCCCCAACAAAAAACAAGCTGCCAACCCCGGCCCGGACCCTCGTTCAGTCTCAGATCGGATCGCTCTAGGCGTCAAACCCCGGCTGGCCCAATGTAGATGAAACTCCGTCTTCGCTCTTGACTAGAATGCTGTGGTAGAAAAGACTTAAACCTTTGGTTTAGCGTTGAAGAATGACCAAGCAATGGCGGTTATATTAACCGTTACAAACCTCCATCGTTGTAGTGGTGCTTGGAATGTCAACTCGGGCGTGGCTGCACAAATTCCGACCCTCCCTATCAAAAGCGGGTGGGTGGCCATTCTTGTGAAGCTGCGCTGTTTCTTTAAAACCGCAAGAACGGGATTCCTTTAAGAAAAGACACACCCATGTCCCTCAGATCTTTTGCCCAAAGCAAGCACCTGGTCTAGCTTCACTTTTTCCAAAGGTCTTCTGCAGAACACCACCAAACACGGGGGAAACAGCCGAACGATGGCCGAAAAAGAATGCAGGAATCACCTGGAACATCCATAGCCAAGGTACTTGATGGGAGTTCAACGCCACGGAAGTTGACAAGTTGTCCTTTGGTTCGGCATATTCTTCTTTTTAAAGGGGTGGGTCTCAAAATGGGGTGCCTTGGTTACAAAGGATACTCACTCACTCAAGTTCGCACGGGGCCTTTGTTGGCGCAGCTGGTGTTTGGGGGGGGGGGTCAGGCCACAAAGGATGCTCCCATCTTGGGTTCCACAAGTTGTCACTGGCCAGCGGCTCACTGAGGTGTAGCGAGAAGTCGTGGCCCTGCTCAGAGGCGCGCGTGGTCGAGTCTCCAAACAAAAACTAAGACATGTGTTCGGTAGAGAGAATTGTCGGGTGACTCCCATTTTCCAAAGGTCATGGAGACCCCGGAAGTCTGACTTGTTGCTTTTCTGCATGTGCCAAGCGTCGGGCCGGCAGGTTCCTTCGGCCAAGAAGTCGGTGTCCGCAGGCGTGGTGTCGAGCTTACAACCCTAGAACGATGCGCAGGGAAAAGGTCGGGTGTATCGGGTGTATCGAGGGGCCAACCGTGTGTATCTATACACATATGCCTGCACACACAGATGGGTATGTGTCAAAGTAGGGGACCCCCATTTAGGTAGTTGTCCATTTGGTTTCTGATTGCAAACACAAGACAAGATACACCCATCCGCATATACATATATACATATTTATATAGATGTGTATATCTAAGAGGTTTGGACCATACCTTTTGACCATACCCCAGAAAATACGTGTTTCAGCATATGTTTGTGGCTAGTTTGAGCCATGTTTGAGAACGATGGTCACAAGGTGCGGTGCAAGGGCTTGCTCTGATGTACTCTGTAATTGATGTCATCCCAAAGCCCGAAACAGCCCGAAACAAGTCTGGGATTAAACTGCTGCGTTGATTTCGTTTTAGGATTTTTTTTTTCGTTTTTTTTGGGGATTTTTTTTCGCTTTTGGCTTCTTGGCTTCTTGGCTTCTTGGCTTCTTGGCTTCTCGGCTTCTTGGCTTCTCGGCTTTTCGGCTTCTTGGCTTCTTGGCTTCTCAGCTTCTGGGCTTCTGGGCTTCTGGGCTTCTTGGCTTCTTGGCTTCTTGGCTTCTTGGCTTCTTGGCTTCTTGGCTTTTCGGCTTCTTGGCTTCTCGGCTTCTGGGCTTCTAGGCTTTTCGGCTTTTTGCTGGTTTATGCGGCTTTTGGTGGCTTTTTGGCTTTTCGCATCCTCTGCATTCCCAGTTCCTCTTCGGCAGGCGGCGTTTTTCCGACATCATGGGGGGGGCTGCCGCCGCTACGTTTTAGATTTTCTGCAGAGATTTAATTAGTTGCACCCTAGTTGAATCATCAATTCTTCGAACATCATGGGGGGGTTGCACCCCTAGTTGAATCATCAATTCTTCGACCATCATGGGGGGGGGCTGCCGCCCCCCCCAACCCCCTCGCTACTTTTTAGACTTTTTGCAGAGATTTAATTGCACCCCTATTCAAATCATCACTTCTGCAAACAACATCGTGGGGGGGGCTGCCGCCCCCCCCAACCCCCCAGCTACTTTTGTTGAATCATCATTTCTTTGACCCCGTCACACGATGTGTGGGTGATGCTAGGGATGTTGGTGGGACATGCGGGGGATGTTGACGGGCTAGTGTAAAATGCGTCAATTTCGCGAGAACATGCTGTAAAATACGACACTTTACTGGCCCGGCAGAGATTGAATTGCACCCCTGTTTGAATCATCACTTTTTCGAGCGTCCAATTTCGCGAGAAAATGCTGCAAAATACGACATTTTAGGAAATCTGCGCAGTCCGTGTATGTCTGTATGTATGCATTTCTTCGAACATCATAGGGGAAGCCACCCCCGCCAACCCTCCCGCTGCCTTGTAAATTCTATCACACCCTTTCTTGAATCATTGCACCCCTACTTGAATCACCACTTCTTCCGACATCATGGGGGGGCTGCCGCCCCCCCCAACCCCCCCCGCTACGTTTAGATTTTCTACAGAGATTTAATTAATTGCACCCCTAGTTGAATCATCAATTCTTCGAACATCATGGGGGGGGCTGCCGCCCCCCCCCCCAACCCCCCCGCTACTTTTTATATATTTTTGCAGGGATTGACATGCCCTCCTACTTGAATCATCATTTCTTTGACCCCGTCACACGATTTGTGGGTGATGCTAGGGATGTTGGTGGGACATGCGGGGGATGTTGACGGGCTAGTGTAAAATGCGTCAATTTCGCGAGAACATGCTGTAAAATACGACACTTTACTGGCCCGGCAGAGATTGAATTGCACCCCTGTTTGAATCATCACTTTTTCGAGCGTCCAATTTCGCGAGAAAATGCTGCAAAATACGACATTTTAGGTAATCTGTGTAGTCCGTGTATGAATCACCACTTCTTCCGACATCATGGGGGGGGCGGCAGCCCCCCCCCAACCCCCCCAGATTTTCTACAGAGATTTAATTAATTGCACCCCTAGTTGAATCATCAATTCTTCGAACATCATGGGGAGGGCTGCCGCCCCCCCCAACCCCCCCCGCTACTTTTTAGACTTTTTGCAGAGATTTAATTGCACCCCTGTTCGAATCATCACTACCCCCGCTCTGTTTTTCTTATTTGTTTTTGTATTTTTTTTTGCTGGGATTGAAATGCCCTCCTGTTTGAAGGATTATTGTTTTGACCCCGTCAACCCGCCAGCTACATTTTTGGATTTTGTTACCCACGATTTGTTGGTGATGCTAGGGATGTTGGTCGGACATGCGGGGGATGTTGAAAACGATGCTGGGGATGTTGACCAGCTAGAGTAAAATGCGTCAATTTCGCGTGAAAATGCTGTAAAATACGACATTTTGCTGGCCCGGACGAAAAACGAAAAAAATCCCAAAACAAAACGAAAAAAATTCCCAAAATAAATCCGCACCCGTTTGTGGCTAGTTTGAGCCATGTTTGAGAACGATGGTCACAAGGTGCGGTGCAAGGGCTTGCTCTGATGTACTCTGTAATTGATGTCATCCCAAAGCCCGAAACAGCCCGAAACAAGTCTGGGATTAAACTGCTGCGTTGATTTCGGTGAACTGCTGGGATATATACTATATGTAGTCTTAGCTGGAATTTGTTAGAAGCTTTCTTTGGGGGGGCTTGTTTGCGGGTGTGCCAAGCGAGGTTTGATGAAAGCCAGTGCAGCATGTCGCCTCTCTGATTTCGCGGCGAACTCCTGCAATCCAAATAGGCACTTCAAAGCTTCCCCTTGCAGGGTCGTGGACCCGCAGTTTGGGTATCCGCATAGCGGCTAGGTGGCCTTTAGCGTTTGAGCAAACCGAAGAGAGATTTCAGCTTGCTTCCTTTTCATCCGCCCCATGATACTGGGTTTAGTTTGGTCCTCTTTCATTGATAGTGGACCCCCATCTATATATGTTTGCTTGTAGATTTGGACACTCCAAATTGGTGCAGTGTCAGTCGTTGGAAGGGTTTGCAGGTGAGCAGCGCCCAACACCGATTCCCGTTGGCCATTTTGGTAGCTGGTTGATTCTATACCTGGTTTCACGGGGCACGGAGTCAATACAAGCCTCACCATGTAACCGGACCGAACCCAAAGTCAATGGGTGAAACGTGCGCTCGGTGGTTTCCGTGTGCTCGTTTCTCAGGCTCCAGCATCGGCAAGCCCGCGAGTTTGGCCGTGAAGAAGGGCCGGAACCACGCGGTGTACCAGCGCTGGCAGGTGCGTCTCTGCGTCTCACGGGCTAAAGGCTCCATTAAACGTGCGAACCCCAGAAGGTGGACGTTTCGTTGCCAAGCAAGCGGTAGATTTTTTCAGGTTGTTGCCAGGGGTGTTCCGAAGACAAGGGGAACCGAGTCTTTGGGGTCAATGGGCGGGGGACTTGGCGCTTCCCAAACAGGCGGCGCTCGCCTTTTCTGTTTTTTCCCGCCTTTGGCGACCAGATCTCGGGGGTTGGGGCCTGTTTCACTTCGGTCTATGTGAGAATGGATTCCGACAGAGTGCTTTCTGTTCAATGGTTACCAGCCCGTTTCTAGCTGGTGGTGAGGGAGCCGTTCCGGAGCTCTTTAAAGAGGAAGAACCTTTCGGAGCTACGAGTTCTGTACGGACATGGTAGGTTTGATGGTTTCCCCACCGAAAAATGGCCCCAAGGGCCCTCAAAAAGACAGTCCCCTTTGCCACCGTTGCTTGGCAACTGAGTGGATTGCAAATCCGTTGTTGAGTGGTTGGGGCGACGGGTTTTGGATTGCTCTTTAGGAGGCTACGGGCTGCTTTCCCTTTGCCGAAGCCACCAATTCAATCGACCAATCATATAAGTCTGAGAAACCGGCTACCAGAATCCTGCAGATTTTCGGGAAACCGCAGGCACATTTTGAAGGCTCCCATGCATGAGTGATGCTTGTGGAAGCCGCAGTCGCAGGCTTTTAGGGTCAAAGCCAGTGGTGTCAATGCTGGTGCCTCCCTTGCACGGCGTTGCCAACAAAGACATTGCCACTCGCCGCACGAAATGGGTACGTGTCCAAGTTCAGGGACCGCCAAGATGGCGGTTTTCCTTTGGTGGCCGTTTAAACCAACCCGCAAAAGGGTACCCTCAAAGAAGTTGAAAGCTCGCTCGCTCCACTCAAAGGGACCTGAGGTTTTCAGGGCCTGAGGGCTACCGTTCCACTGGATGATTGGGCTGGGTTGGCGAAGCTTGAGGGTATGGCAGCACATGGTACATGGTGGTCGTGTTTTGTGGCCCATGCATACGTTTCCATTTTGGGTCTGTGTCGAATTCGAGTGTGCCCTTTTCAGAATGGTGAATAGAGGGAAGCCCAAAGTTGAAAGCGTTCCAAATCCCTATTGTGACACCACTTGGCTCGCGCATCCGTCTCAGGTTTGACCAACATTTCCATACCATGAGCCTTAGGCGCCTGGGCCGGCAAGGGGGAGTCGGGCTGAAAGCGTGAGCAGAGAGCTCACGGCTTGTTGGGTTTGACCCTTCACAAGGTTGGCTTGGGAAGCCACGAGATCGGATTTTCAAAACAGCCGCGGGCAGTGCTTGGAGGCTCCCAAATCCAGAAAATGCACCTCCCCCCCTAACAATTTTCAGGAGCTTGAATTATCCACCCAGATCCCATTGTGACACAAACCCACAGGGCGGAGGGGCGGTTGTGCACTCACTGAACATCGAGGCTTGGGGATGGGCCGAAGGTTTTCGGGAAGCGCCTGGCATCGACGTGTTGTGCTGGAGCAACGAAGCAGGAATTGAAATGCCCCAAGGAGGTGCACGTCCAGAACAGACCTGCAACTCTCGACGCAATTCCGTTGAATTGCCAATTTTGATTCCGAACCGCTGGTGGGCATGACGACCTCGTGTAAATGATGCCAAAGCAAAATGCCCGAAAACGAATTCATGCCACACGCGCATTTGGCCAAGGCTCGCTCGGGTTCTTTGCGCCCTGCTGGTTTGTGCCAATTCTGTGCGACCAAGTGGCAGAGCCTCCGAATGCAAGCCATCGCAAGAGGCTGTTGAAGCTTACGGGAAAAGTTGGGCAAAGGACCAAGTCGGAAGCTTGGAACCTCATCAACTGGTGAGGCCAAATAGCACCCCAGGAACTCGTTGGGGAGTTCCGCAGAGTTTGCCGGTCCAGGGATGTGTAAGGGTTGTGTGAAAACAAAGTAGCCATGGGCCCCTTTAAAGGCATACCAACAGCACCTTTTGTTTTAAACAACAGTGGTTTAGGCATGCTTGATAAAAGGGTTTTGCCCAACCCTGTCGACAAGCCCCAAGTGCCAACCCATAGGGCGATTTGCAACTTGGGCATGATATTTGATTAGGGACTCTTTGGTGGGCATCATCTCATTTTGGTGCACCAGCCACTTTTGATGGGGTTCACTATTGAAATTCATAGCCATAGTTTGCCTTCAACGATGGTGGGTGTAAATCCCCCTATCTAAGTGACCGTCAGCAAGCTCCAAACAAACGTTTGATTTGTGCATCAAAATTCGTTTCTTTGAACTGTTGAGAGACCACGGCCCCCTACTCTACCCCAAACAGGCTCATAGGACCTTTTAAGAGCCCCTTCTATGAAGGTTCCAGCCTTTCCTGGGGTGTTGGCGCGCCTTTGGTTTCTTTCCTATGAATTTTCCTTTTCGGGCGTGTTTCAAGCTTGATTTGGGCTGCTCTGCGGTCCGCAAAGTTACAGAAAGAAGTTCGGAGGGCGTGCGTTCAGTTTCGCGGGGAGGTTTTGGGACTTGGCCCACAGCTCCCGAAGACACCAGAACCTATGGGAGCTCGTGGCAAGTGATGCAAAAGGATAGTTGGAGGGCTGAATAGTTACCCGTGGTATTCCCTGTACTGACGACTGAAACGTGGTTGTAAAGTACCCGCATCCACATTCTAATGATTTGACCGCTGATATAACCCTCAGAAAACAGATACCATTTTGATCGCTGGCCTGAGGAGAAGAGGAGCTGACCGCGGCTTGTCTGATCCATCGGCTTGTGCCCGTATCCCGCAAGAGGGGATTCCGCTCTGTGGATGGTTTCAAAGGCAGGCCCAAAGGACGCCAGTGCAATACGGGTGTTTGATCCGAGAATCAGTCCAGTCCAAAGTTCCAGATGGCAGTTCCCGGGCCCACAGTCCAGATCTGTTATATGGCTATGATTTTTTACGGGGAACCCCTGAAAAGCGGTTGGTGGTGTCCACCAAAGGGTCCCTAATAAATTACACCAGCATAGACCCCAGATAGCAGTGCTTGCACACCAGCACCTCCTAAAACACCCCCCCGAAGAACGCCCCAAGCAAAACCCAGCCGTCAATCGAGCAAAAATGCGCCCACACCATCACCCTGAAAAGCACCCCAAACAGCACCCCCCAAGACACCCAGCAATCAATCTTGCGAAAATCAACCAGCACCCCGAACAGAATCCCAAATCACCACCTAAGCTGCATGTCCCCCTTGCACCTTACCGTCAAGATGCAAACATGCGCCTGTACCGTCACCTGCATGCCCGCTAGCACCCAAGCGTCAATATCGCAACAATGCGCCCGCACCGTCACCAGCACCCCAAACAGCTCCCCACGAATTTCGTTTCACAGCACCACAACCCAAACTGCATTCCCCCCTGCGTGCGAAAAGACGCGCACCGTCACCCCCCAAGTACCTACACAAGCACCCCAAACTGCATGCCCCCTAGCACCCGAATCAGCACCTAGCCCCAAACTGCACGCCCCCTAGCACCAGCCCATCAAGTTAGAACCCCTATAGCCTTAGCTTTCAGCTATCTGGGGGGAAAAAAAGGAAACATACCCATATCCCGAAGCGCTGCAAGTGCTGCAAGTGGTCAGCATTTGGGCACCTTGACAAATCAGAACTCGTTGCAACATCTACACACCACGCCTTGGGTATCGGAGATTTGCCAAACCCGCTCACTTGCTCTAATGATATATATATATATAAGATATTCTGTAAGAGATGTGGATGGGGCTATGGGTGGTTGCCAACTGCACCGAGGCTGCGTGAACAAACACGTTGGTTCATTCATGATGGAATATGCGTCAGGGAGCATATTACTAGCAGTGTACTGATGGTTCGGCGAGGGACGCTGGGGGACAACTTTGATTCTCAATATTCACATAAGCCAGAGGGACAAACAATCCGTCTGGTTGGGGAATCATGCGTAGCTTTATTCCTCAAAGGCCGCGTTTTTGTTCTCTCTCCGAGGTTGCCAGGAGGAGCGCGTTTCATTTGAAGGCTGGGCGGGGTAAATTGGGGGCTTACTGCGTCCCGTTACTGGATAGGATGACATGGTCCCCGAAATGGAGGCGCGAGTGGTCCTGGTAGCACCAAGCTGCCCAGCATGCAAATGCTAGGAATTGGGCCGAGCTCTCCCATAGCACGGCTTTCCAACAGACATAATTGATGTTTTTTTTGGTGGAAATCGAGCTTCGCAAACCGTTTGTGCATACTGCCCACGTGGGGGTAACCCCGGCGCCGTCAAGACATCAGACCTGTCACACAGACAAATATAGACACCCTTCAGTGCTCAAGACCTCTGGCGTATCATCTTCAGTATACGATCATTGTCCGACAATTCCGGAATGACCAGCAGAGGCCGCCCCAGGAGATCCTCGGGGAAGTTGATAGGATTCCATGTTCCTGACTCCGGCCTTGTGCTTGCAAACTGAGATCCCAACTAATTTGGAGGCAGGTTCGGACTGGGGTCAGATTCGGACCCGGGAAAGGAACGGGGGACGGTGCTTGTCTCCTTGGGCCTTGGAGCGTACAGAAAACCGGAACGGTTCTTCCGGTCGGCGGCCAGCGGGCGACCCGCTGAACGAGCAAAGTCGTTTGATCAAATGCATTTCGTTAGTCGGGTCCAAGTACCCTTGAATGGGTGCGTAGGAAACATGGCTCAAGTGCCTTTTTAGAAGGCACTGGGACTTTTCGGGCTACGAAACGAAGTATCAGGCGAAAGCCGACTGGGAGCAACCGACACTTGCCTTTGCCAGGGGGGTGAGAAGTGTGAGGAGGACGCCAGAGCGCCTCGGCCGAAAATTTTGACGCACAGGACGTGGAGTTTTGGTGGACCGTCGTCTGATTATTTTGTTGCGCATGATATATTGGGGAAGCCCCAAGACTTCCACTTTCTGCGGGAAAGAGGATGCTACAACTTTCACGGGGGGCAACGCGCCGCCAAGTGTGGCGTTGTTTGCCTGCAGCTTGAGGCGCCAGCTGATCCAACAGAGGCGGGGGGGAAGGAGGTTGGGCCAACGGTGAAATCAGCCTTACTGGACGAAAGATGGAACAGAATCTGAACCAAGCAACTTTTGTGTGACCCCAGAAGTCCGAGATTGCCTCCATGGCATTTGAAGCAAAGTCCACCAAGGCTATCTGCCTTCTGGGCATGCTTGGACGGCCGTGCCTTTTCAAGAGGGCGGTCTTCCGAGACCCTGTCAGCTGCCGAGGTTGTTGAGCCAAACTGTTGGAGATCTGGTTTCACCATGCTTCAAGTGATTGGCGGAAGCCCAGTTAGGCATGACGTGCCTCGTATCTTCGCTGGGTTCGAGATTGGGCTCTGACGCAGTCTCAAAGTCAGGGGGCGGTTTTCAACCCCCTGGGGGCAACGCAGAGTGAGGCCTGCGGCTGGGATTTAAGAGTCTGCTTCCCAACCTGCGATTCTGCCCTCTTTGGCCTTGAGGCGGTCAAGGGGTTTTGCCCCTGTGCCAAGCTATTGGACATGTGGGTGTGCCTCAAAATGAGAGGCGGACGCACAAAATGGATAGAAAGGGCTTCCCCAACTCCAAAACAAGGCATAACCATGACAATGTGTGGCGGTGCTGTTGTCTCTTTGGTTTCCTCCAATGCACCCCCCAAAAGGCTTGCCCAACTCCAAAACACACATCTATACATAGGCTTGGTTTCCCTTCAAGCTTGCTGGTGCCCAGGGAATGACCTTCCGGGTGTTGGGACTGGGGAATTCCCTCAAAGGAAACCGATGGTTTTGCTCGGGGTCATTTCACGTCTCATTCGCTGCCTCTCTCGCCCCGATCGCGTGCGGATCGCGTGCCTGTCGAGGCGTGCCCGACCTCCTGCCCCTTTTCCGCAGAGCTGGCCAACCCCGAGAAGCGGCTCGGAGGCTGTTGGCTGCCCCATGTGAAAGCTCCCCATGCTGCGAGTGCAGAAAGAACATAGGCGGTGGCTCGGTGCCTGCCTTGTTGAATTGGGGTTAGGGCCCATACAAAACCTTCATGGCCATGTTGGTAGAATCGAAAGTCCATGGGTGAAACGTGTCTGGCTGGTGTTGGCAATCATCGGTTATCGATTTTACCACAACAGCAAATGGTTGAGCACCTGCGAGTAAATGTGGGAACCCCCAATATGTGATGAGCTTGGATTTTCCAATTGATTTCTCTTTAAGACCCTAAAAGGCTTCAAAAAGGACACCGACCCAACTTGGATAAAGCTTAGGTAAACAATGGTGCATCATACATATATATATATATATATACCCACTCTCTCTCTCTATATATATATATATATATGTATATCTATTAAAATACCAGCAACAACAACGACAATAAAACACACCAACTACTATAACAATAGCAGTAATCATGATCATACTCGTAATGATAATAATAATACTAATAATAATAATAATAATAATAGTGGTATCAACTATAACAATCATAATGGTAATAACCATAGTAATACTAATAGTAATAAAAATTGTAATAACAACAATAATGATAACAATAGTAATACTAATAGTCGTAGTAAAACCAATAACAACAATAATGATAATAATGCAGTAAACTGTAATAATATCATTAAGAATGATAATAATAGTGATAATGGTATGCGTAATAGTAAAAACATGAACCAAAACAACAACACTAATCATCAAAATAACAGTATTCACAAAATTTATAATAGTAATACTCATATCACAATATTTACAACAATCATAATGACAACAGTGATAATGATAATGATAGTGATGGCAATAATGATAATGATAAGGATGATAATCCTCGATAGTCATATTATTAAACATAATCATAATGATGATGATACTAGCCATCATAACATTAGTAGTAGCAATAGCAATAATAATAGTAATAATGCCTAATAATATACCTAATAATGATAATAATGATGCGTACAACTACTCATAGTACGAATCATAATATCGGTGTATATATATATATACATATATGTACATGCATTCATTGTTTTGGTTCCCCAGCGTAGGTTGGAGCCAGGGGACTTCGCAGCCGTCCGGGAGCACACATACACAACAGGAAAGTTCTTGGTTTGGGGGTCTGATGTCAAGAAAAACGAGGCCTCCCTCACAACTCTCCCCTCCAAAAAAATCCAAGCCATTGGCCAAGCACTCGCACTTTCATTTTTGAGTTTGCTCAAAATGAAAGGTCCCATGGGCAAATGCTCTGCACAATGACTTGGTAATTGAGACTCCCTGCCGTTTGATAGAAATTTGTTCTTGCCATGGCAGAACAGAACGCCTGGCACGTGTCATTGCTTGAAGCCGAGGTTCTGCCATTTCAAATGTGTGACCGCCAAGGACTGACGCAGAGATGCAGAACTACATGTATATGTGTATATATATATATTGCCGGGCGTAACTCCTTCTTAGACGGGTTTTAAGGAAGCCAACAGAAACTCTATTTTTGGGTACGGATATTTCAACACATGCCCAAATGTTCACAGCCAGCTGCACTCTTCAATGTAAAGCCGTTGTGTGTGTGTGTGTGTGTGTGTGCGTTGCATGTCTCCCAAATGCAAGCACATATGTGTGTAAGAAAGTACCGCCCCAAAGACAGGAACAAGGTGCAGTTTTGGACTACTATTCCTCTCTGTATCTGACAACACCTGCAAACAATAAGAAAGAAGGTATTCACCCCCCAAAATGCCAGCAATCACACCGATGGGGGACCCAGGCGCTTTTCTTTCTTGAACAAGTTTGTGTTGGAGGCTTTTGGATTGGTTGAACTACCCACCTTGGCCCCCGTCTCATAGACCAAGTGAAACACCACTGGGAGAGCTGTATCTCGCATTGCTTAGCGCAACAGGTCTTGGTGTACTGCAGGCGCGGAGAGGGAACTAATGGGAACCAAGGATAAATCAACCCCTGGAGGTGTCCGAAACACCCCCAATTATACGGTTTGATTCCGGTGTCAACATGGGGCCTGTGCTTTTTTGAGGGTACCCTTTTCGGGGTTGGTTTAAAGGGAAACCACAAAGACACCCACCACTTTTGTTTTGACACATACCCACACAACCGATTCTACTGAATGGTTGCAAGCCTTTCTGTCGCAGGAGTGTGGCACTGGAGATTTGATGCACAACCAGACCATCCCTGAGCGGAAGAAGGTGAAAGAGACACTTGAAGCAGTTGAGTGGAAGAGTATATAACCAGTCTCTGGCCTCTTTGGACATATGTTGCTTTCTTGGGTAGACCAGATGTGGGCCAAGGGTATGGTAGGCCATCTTCGCTTTTGTCTGAAAGGGGGTTCCCTGAGCTGCCTTCTGCATGAATGAGGGATGATACAATATTCCAACCCATTTTGGTTGAGTCACCCCTTCACTTACCCGCATGAGCCTTGTGATTATGCAGTCTACTTTGGCGGCGAAATTTTGTTTGACTTTATCGCCACCAATCTCAGGGTGAGTTCGGAGAGCATGAATCTGCATGTCTCTTATGGATCTCTTATGGCGAGCTCACCGATCGGGGCTAAGAGGAGCGGGGATCCAGTACCTATCTAATTTCCATAGGGTATGTAGAGGGAAAGTAGATGGATACATTTTTTTTACATCCACCAGTACTAAGGGTAGGAATGGACATTTAGGTTTTGCACAACAGAACATATCTCGTGCTCAGCGAGAGCCTGGACGTACCCATTGGAAGCCCTGGGACACTGGTTGTTCCCCTTCTTTGCCTCTTTTAAGTAGCACCGTTTTGGCGAAACCACCCGCAGCCCCTCCTTCAGGGCGGCCTATTTTTTTGTTTTTCTTAAGATGGTTTCAAGCATCAACGGTTGGGCCCAATCCCTGGGGTGATGTTGCAAGAGGAAATCCACGGAGCCCGGCTGACATCTTTTTACAAAGCTTGTCATCAATGTTTGGAGGAACGAGAGAGGGACACGCAAAAGCGAGCCCGCAAGGATTCCGCCAGGGATGGGAAAGCCCCCGCCATTCGATAAATTTGACTGAACCTCAAATGAGGGCTTCTCAACATGGTGATTTTTGGTTGGTATTCAACGGGAAAGGAAATAACGCCCCTAGGAAATGGACCGAGTTTTATTTTCAGAGCGATCCTGGAGGTTCTTGCCAGCTGAGGAACCCTTACTGCCGCTTCTGCGAGGTGGAGGCATGTGCCGAGTGTGTTGCCTCCAACCCTGGCGACGAGGAGGAGGGCGATGCTTGGCGACTTTAGCGCGTGGTTGGTTGGTTGGTTGGTTGGTTGGTGGGTGGGTGGGTGGGTTGGTCGGTCGGTCGGTCGGTCGGTTGGTTGGTTGGTTGGTTGGTTGGTTGGTTGGTTGGTTGGTTGGTTGTTTGGTTGGTTGGTCGGCTTGGTTTGGTTTGGTTGGCTTGGTTGGCTTGGTTTGGCTTTGTTGGATTGGTTGGATTGGTTGGATTGGTTGGATTGGTTGGATTGGTTGGTTGGGTTGGTTGGGTTGGTTGGTTTGTTTTAGTTTGGTTGGACTGGTCGGTTTGTTGGCTTGGTTTGGATTGGTTGCTTTGGTTGGTTTGGTTAGTTTGGCTGGTTTGTTTTAGTTTGGTTGGATTGGTTGGTTGGTTTGGTTTGGTCTGGTTGGATTGGTTTGTTTGTTTGGGTTGTGGTTGGTTTGGTTGGTCTCGTTGGTTTGGTTGCATTGGTTGGTTTGGTTGGTCTCGTTGGATCGTTGTTTGGTTTGGTTGGCTTGGTTTGGATTGGTTGCTTTGGTTGGTTTGGTTAGTTTGGCTGTTTGTTTTTTGGTTTGGTTGGATTGGTTGGTTGGTTGGTTTGGTTTGGTCTGGTTGGATTGGTTTGTTTGTTTGGGTTGTGGTTGGTTTGGTTGGTCTCGTTGGTTGGTGGTTGCATTGGTTGGTTTGGTTGGTCTCGTTGGATCGTTGTTTGGGTTTGGTTGGCTTGGCTTGGTTTGGTGGTTTGGTTGGTTTGGTTTGATTGGTTGGTTTGGTTGCATTGGTTGGTTTGATTGCCTTCTGGTTGGTTTGGTTGAGTTGGTGTGGTTGGTTTCGTTGGATTGGCTGGTTTGGTTGGTTTGGCTTGGTTGGCTTGGATTGGTTTGGTTGGTCGGTAGGTTTGCTTTGGTTGGTTCGGGTGGTTTGGTTGGTTTGTGGTTGGCTTGGTTTGGTTGGATTGGTTGGATTGGTTGGTTTGGTTGGATTGGTTGGTTGTGCTGGTTTTGTTGAATTGGTTGGTTATGTTTTGTGGTTGGTTTTGGTTTGGTTGGTTCGGGTGGTTTGGTTGGTTTGTGGTTGGCTTGGTTTGGTTGGATTGGTTGGATTGGTCGGTTTGGTTGGATTGGTTGGTTGTGCTGGTTTTGTTGAATTGGTTGGTTATGCTTTGGTTGGTTTGGTTTGGTTGGTTCGGGTGGTTTGGTTGGTTTGTGGTTGGCTTGGTTTGGTTGGATTGTTCGGTTTGGTTGGATTGGTTGGTTGTGTTGGTTTTGTTGAATTGGTTGGTTATGGTGGTTTGGTTGGTTTGGTTGGTTGGTTGGGTCGGTTGGTTTGGTTGGATTTGTTGGTTTGCTTGATGTGGTTGCGTTGGTTGGTTGGTTGGTTCGGTTGGTTGATTTGGCTGGTTGGCTGGTTGGCTGGTTGGCTGGTTGGCTGGTTGGCTGGCTGGCTGGCTGGCTGGCTGGTTGGTTGGTTGGTTGGTTGGTTGGTTGGTCGTTTGCGGAAACCTTGCGCACAAACAAGCCGGTTTGCCTTGGTTTTCCCTTTTGAACCAACACAGCTCCATTATGATGTTTCATTTTTTCGCACATCACGTTAGTACGTATGTTTGCATTTTGTTAGTGAATGGGGGGATCCACCATTCTTGTTGGTTTTGGAAGCTAAAGGCGCCCCGACCGCGACACCCACATCTTGGGTTTCGTATGTACAATCACATTGGACGTGCTGATCCCGTGTTCTTTTTGTGCTCTTTGTTGCTTATTTTGAGAGGTATTTCTCTCATTTTTTCGCAATTGGCAGCTTCGAGTGATGATGGAGGGAATGGTTCCAAGTAGCTCTAGTGCGGAAAGGCACGCAGATACTCTTCAGCACAATGCCAGCCCATCTATTTGTACAGACATCCAGGGCATACCCCATATATATTTGTTTTGGCAGACTGAGTTTGGTGCGCTGAATTTGTGACTGCTCGACTCCCTAAGAAAGAACCCACTTGCCAAAATGTTGTTTTGCTTTTAAATGCATAATGCAACCATGGACAGAGGTTCCTATATTTCCCTTTTGGCTCGGCTTAAGACATCATCTTTTGGGGTGATGCTTGGGGGGACATATAGGGAGCCCTGAATGCTCGCTGGCGACTCGGTTTCCTTGCTCAAGGTTGAGACCTGCAAGAAGTGCATGCTGGGCTACACTCTGCACCTCAGACTGAATGAGAATTCTGCAATTTTGCAGGCATAGTGTGTCAAAATAGGCTCGGGGTACACAACCCATGGTTGGTTCCCCTTGGTCTCCCTTCAAACCAACCTGAAAGGGATACCCGCAAAAAGCCCCGCACCCATCTGGAAATGGATTTTGATAGAGGACCAGCTTGAAAGTGGTTGGTGGACGTAAGCCCTCACCCAAATGATATCCGAAAAAGAGTCCCTATTGAAACTTTACATTTGTGTCACTTGATTTGCCAGAAATCCGTTTTGGTGGCCTTGTTTTTTCGGGGCATGATTTCGCCATGCTCTTTGCATTCTGAGGACTGAGGACGGCAAGGACTCGGCTTTTCGCCTGCGTCCGGGGCAATTGGCCTGCGATAGCAGACATCATTGGGCGTGTGTTTTTTGAGGGTACCCTTTCAAAAAGAAATCACGAGGAAAACACACATTTGTTAGGTCCCGGCATTTTTATGCACACTTATTCGTTCAGGGATTTGTGGCCAAAGCTTGCCCATCACACTTACACTGATCCAGGCGCGACATGCGAATCGGGGGGGGGGGGGGGTATGAATCTTGATGGGGGGCGGGCGGGCCCTTTGTGGACCTCATTTGCGTGGGGATGTATGTCCACATACAATTTTTCGGGAGGCCTTTTTCTTTGGAGTTTCCAGATTAACATTCACAGGCATGTGTTGGCTCCATTGCAGTGGGAACGAGCACTTGAGCGACGCCTAAAATCCCGCGTGGCTGTTTTAGCAGTTGGTTCTACTTCCTGGTTGCATTGTGGTTATAGTAAATACCTATAGAACCCACAGTCAATGAGTTTCAGCCGCTGCTCACTTGGCTGTGGGTCAAGAATAGGTACCCAAAATGGAACCCTGGTAAATGGAGACATGGACTAAAACCTGCGGTCCCCTGGTTTAATTTTGGCCCATACCCACTTGAGGAGTGCGAGAGCCATGGCGACGATGTCTTCATCGGCATCGCTGCTGTGGGCGTCTTCTTCGGCATTGTCGGGCTGTGCCTCGGGCCTGGTTGGCCCCGGGGGATGGCCCATCGACATGTCGTGTAAGCAGAACCCGGCAGATTGCGCGCTGTTTCCAACAGATCTGAACCTTTTCTTAGATGGCCATCGATTCCAAGAGGGAACCTTAGTTGGTGAATCTAAATTTCCGCCGAATTTCGGGCCTTTTCCGGAAACCGTCCTCCGGCCAAAAGCCAAGCCTCCCTTCAGCCCTGAGGTACGAAGCTTGTTCGGGGCCCCGTAGTTGTTTTTTTCCCCTTTTTTTTTCCGGCTCATTTGAGGTCCAGGCCCAAAAAAGGTAAGGGCTTCTCTGGGAATGGGTGGTGCCCTCATGGAAGCTGACGTTTCGGCAGAGCTCGAGTGCCTGGCTTTTGGCGTCAGAACTCGTGGCTTGGATGGCTTGAACTTTGCTTGGTAAGTGAGGGAAACAACCAGAAACGACCTCCCACTCACCAATCCCAAGTTGATATAGTCTCAAAGAAGGATGGACCGCCTCAGGAATGGATTACAGTTGTCATGTTGGTTTTGCCTTCGGACCGTTTAAAAGGCGACCACCAGTCCAAACCAAGTAAGGGGAAGCTGAAGGTAGACATTTCTCCCAGGACCTTCTCACAAAAACAACTGGTTTTAAGTCGACCGCGTGGTAGTATGGTCAGCCAAAACTCATTTGCAAACCTCCAAACAACCCCAAAACTCTAAACCCTAAACCCTAAGTTTGGGAAAGCCAAGCTGCGGACAGGATTTGGTACCTCATCGTGCTATCGAAACCTGTGGTGAATGAGGACGGCGTGAAGCGACTCGGAAGGTTTCTTCGGGTGGCAAAGATCCAAAGATTGTGATCACCAGCGCCAGGCCCCGTGAGATTTGAAATCAACTCACAGCCCTTCAAAGGGTGAAGCAATAGCTCTTTGAGCATGTTACAAAGTGGCCCAACCCTGAAGCCAGATCGGAAGGGACTGAGCGGGTTGGGCCTGGCCTTCGAAAGGGATGTTGGCAGCTTTGGGGTAGTCAACTGGCCTGTGGTCAACTGGCCTGTGGTCAACTGGCCTTTGGTTACCTGACCTTTGGTCTAAATCTCAAGAAGGCGTTCGCAGTTAGGCGATTTCGAGCATCTTTGCGCTTGGGGGATGGTTTCGTTTGGCCGTCTCACGAGGTATGCAATGGAGAGTCAGAAGCGGATGATGGTGACCCAGGACCATCACGGGGAAGAGGGCCAGCCATATCCGCTTCTTGGCACGGCGATGTTTGGTTGCTGTTGTTTTGGGGTTGGGGTGCCCTATTTCAGACACACCCATTGCCCCAGTGGGGCTTCCTTTTTGTCGTTAAGAGGGGGAACCCCTCGTTTAAAATCGACCGCCTTCTCAGGTCCATGAAAGTGACAGGCTGCCCGTGCGCTACCCCCACATCCCCTCAAGGCACTTTGGCGCCTCCCCCCAAAGTGGTATAGCTGGGCCCTAGCCATGGCAAGTGACGAAAGCAGCAGCAAAGCGACGTGTCAGCGTTCCGAGCAATATGGGTGTTTCTTGTTTGGCGCCGCTTTTGGCTGGTTTCAAACTTGAAGGCTTGATTGGAATGAAGCTGTTTGGGTGTCCCCTCACTTCTCCACATCTCCGGATGAACTTGCCTCTCCAAAGCCGCCGACTGCACCCAACGGAGTTCACATGCTTGTCCTCCACAACGTTACGGCAGGTTTATCTTCAAGATGTCCTTGTTTTCTTGCTTACCTGCTTTCGTGCCTCCTTGCCTCCTTGCCTGCTTGCCTGCTTGCCTGCTTGCCTGCTTGCCTGCTTGCTTCTTGCTTGAGGCTCTACGGGGTCCGTGAAAGGCGCGCTAGTTGGTACAGGGAGTTGTCGCTAGCTAGCTAGCTAGCTAGCTAGCTTGCTTGCTTGCTTGCTTGCTTGCTGTCTGGCTTTCTCGCTCGCTCGCTCTGGTCGCTCGCTCGCTCGCTCGCTTGCTTGCTGTCTGGCTTGCTTGCTCGCTCGCTCTGGTCGCTCGCTCGCTTGCTTGCTTGCTGTCTGGCTTGCTCGCTCGCTCGCTCTGCTCGCTCGCTCGCTCGCTTGCTTGCTGTCTGGCTTGCTCGCTCGCTCGCTTGCATCGACCTTCTGCTTGCTTGCTTGCATCGACCTTCTGTTTGCGTGCTCATTTCACTCCTTGTGTTTCTTTTCTCCGCCTTCTTCTTTTTCTCCTTTCCTCCGCAAGCCCGCTCATGATTTGTTTCATGATCTTGTGTCCTCATCCCAATCCACCAGACATCCACTTTAGTTTTCCACCCCGGAAAGGGCTCTTTTTCCCAACTCCGAGGAGGGCGTCTCGGAGAAACGGAACACCAGACTCAAATCAAACGAGCCAACAGGGGGCCACTTCCATCTTGCATGTCTAATCTCCCACCAAACAAATGGTTTCAACTCCTCCGACTCCGCGTGTGTTTTGAGCCGACCGCCCGATCGCCATTTTTTGAACCAAACTTGGCTGGTGTTTGGGGGTATCAACAAGGTCGACGAGCAACTGTTTCCATCCCCCCCCCCAGTTTTGGGCTTGGATTTCTCATGCGTTTTCCTTTATAATCCCCGAACCGGGGTTCAAAACAAGACACCAACCTGATGCCGATTTTGGGTGTGGCATTAAAGATCAAAGAGCTAGGGCAAACCGCGTTTCCATTTACCCCTTGGCGATTTGGGGGATTCCATATTTGACCATTTGGCCGATTTTGGGCGTTTTTTTGAGCCATTTGGAACTGGAGGTTCGGCACCAACCTGATGTCCACCACCGTGGCTGGGCCGGGGACCACTGCGCTCTTCTCCTTCCAGGGCGCCGTGATGCTCTGGGGCGCCATCGTGCCCCTCGCCGCGCAAGTCTCCGGGGGTCAAAAACCGGGCACCGTTGTTTTTTTTTGAGCGAACACAACAACGGAAAACGACATTTGGTTTCACTAGTCTCTCCGAAGAAGACCATAGGATGAGTCTTAAAAATAGGGGCCACCCAAAATGTTTGGTTTGCTTTGGTTTGCCTTTGAAGCTAGAAAAAGGACCGTTGAAAAAGCATGCCCATGTGCCAACAGAAGGGTCCAATTGAATACGGTCCCTTTTTGGTATCCCCTTTAAAGGCGGCACCTTACCTGGGGTGTGGCAAAATTGTATACAAAGGAGCCATATGTTGGTTTAAGTTACTTTTGAGGTGTCGGGAAGTCAACATATGGAAGTCTGCTCCTTGAACCCCTTGGTCCGTGCGATGGAAGACCCAGGCAGCCGAGAAACCGAGTCTGGAGGCAAATAAGCATGGATGGCCACCACAAAGGAGCAAGCAGAACATGTCAGCACAAGGACATGGATGAATGTTTGTTTGGCGCGAACAAAAGAACGAGGGAGAGAGAGAGAGAGAGAGAGAGAGAGAGAGAGCAAGGCAACCCAACAAGACAAAAGAGACTGGGAGGGATGGAGAAAGGGATGGAGAAAGGGATGGAGGGAGGGCTGGAGGGAGGTATGGGAGGGATGGAGGGAGTGGCCTACTAGCGAGTTCCCTTGAGGTTTTCAGGGGACATGTTGGGAACCCGTCGGTGGCTCCCTTTGCTTCAGACGGTAGCTCCTTGCCTCAGCGCCAAATGCGCACCGAGGATTGGCATTTGGCTGGGCTTCGTTTGCTTTGCCCTGGCCTCGGGCTTTCGGTGCTTTGGGCTTCGTCGTTCAACACGCCCTTCCCCCCCAAATAAATAGGTTCCCTTCGGTTGCCCTCAGCAACCGAAAAAAAAAAAGAAAAAAAAAAAAAAAAAAAAAAAAAAAAAAAAAAAAAAAAAAAAAAAAAAAAAGAAAAAAACAGAAAAAGAAAACCGCGTATCCTCGACAAAGGCGCCCCAGCAAAGGGAATGAGATGTGGGAGAGGTTCAACTTGCACAGAACAAAAAGGGGGTATCCTTGAAGGGAGCGTGACTGGAGGTTTCTGGAAGGCCATTTTCGTTAGATAGGCGGCCCAAAGCCGGCACAAGGGTCCAAAACTCATTTTTTTCCAAATCGAGACTTTTGAAAGCAAAAGGAAAGGGTCTCGTCCGTCAGGAACACGAATGAATAGGGAAGTATCGCTGGATCCGGATGAGCTGGCCACGCTTCTTATGGACAAGCCAGGTTTCTTTGCGGGTCGGTCGGTTTGGGCCAAGGTGAGCAAAGATCTGCTGTTTCTGGGCAACCGCCCTGCCACCACCCCTCGTCAGCTTTGCGAGGCGCGGGCCTTGGATGTATCGCTTGGCGCGTGCGTGTGACACGCATCCGAAGGGAACCCATTGGTTGGGGTTCCATTGATTGGGTCACCCAAGCGTAATGTCAGCATCGGATGAGCCGGGAGCCATAGTGTCGGCCATTGTGGAAAATCACCCAAACATCTGTGACATCAACATGGGGATTTCCGTTACAGTTTGTTTCACTTTGAAAGGGATGTTTCATATCGCAGACCTGGGTCTAAAGCTCCATTGCCCACGGCCCTGATATCCAGTTTTCACGATTGAATTTCGGCCCCGATCAAAACTCACGCCCGCTGTTCCGCGCCTGGAGTCCATGCGGCCTCCTCCCAAAAGGGCCAAGGGATGGCGATAGCTCGGAACGGGCGGGCATTGTCAAAGGCTATGGCAATGGTGGCTTTTGGTTTCCACCGAAAACCCAACCGAAAGGGTGACGAGCCTCAAAAAATGACTTTCCTATGGACTCCCGAACTGGGCGATGAATTCCCTTTGATCTCCCTTTGGAGCCACCCCCCGCCAAGGGTGCCCACTCAAAAGCCACAGGCCTTCGGCCTTCCTTTCATGGCTTGTTTTTGGTATGACCTTCGCCCCTCAACCTTTTGGAAACAAATATGACGAGTCCCTTGCAAAAGGTGACTGGCCTTTTGCTCAGGGAAACCCAGAAAAGGGGCCTGACAAGTGGTTTGGTGTCCTTTGTGTTGCGCCCCGACTCAAACAACGGCAACGCCGCATGTTTCTCCGTTTCTCCGCCACCCGAGGTAGTTGCCTGGGGCCGCCAGCGGCAGACGCGCAGCTGCAGTTCTCGGGGGAAAGGGGGAGGACTTTCAGGGTTCGAGGGGCTTCATGCGATTCTCTGGCCTCTTTCCAACAATGAACGAGGGGCTTCCCCCAAAAGGAAAGTCGTCTTCCAAGTGGCTCCGATAAGCTCCATTGTTTGAGAGAGGGTGGTTTCATCCACCCCTATCTTCCCATGATACCTGCATTGCAAACTATAATGTTTGCCAAAGCGTTTGCTCTTTCGCAGAGGATTCAAGACTCCCCAATTGCTGTTTGCCATGTACCCATGGCAGTCTTCAAGACGCTTGCCGAAGGATTTCCCACCGAGCGTGCTGTCCCTTAGAAGGATCCAACAGTTTGGGTCTAGATTGGTCAGGCTGCCAGAAAGCCAAGGCATGAATGCCTTACATCGCATTTCTGGCCCGGGCGGAGCGTTTGGTCGTTTGGGGAATCCTCCGCTATGACCTGTTGGCAGGGCGCAGATTTGAAGCTCGACTTTGGTCCGGTTGTTTTAACTCCAACAGGGCTCAAGCACCGATTCAAATCACAGGATTCAGAAACCCCTATTTCATTGGTAGGGATGGGTCGACATTACATGACCCAAGGGCAATTCCCGCAAAGCAGCAATCTCAATACAAGGAGGGAACATTGGGCCCCCCCTACCCACCAGAAAAGTTCGCAGATATCTAAGAGCCCCATCTGGGAAGGTTCCTTCCGAGGTTTCCTGCCATTTGCTTAAGAATGCGATTCATTTTCCCCTGTTGGTTGTAATTTGGGGGGATCTATCACGGGACATGTTTCTCATTTCTTCCAGGGGTCGTATTCGCGAAAGCTATGAAGCCTTCCTGGCTACCCAACTTGGTTTCCTCGAGCTGAGGATGGAGCTGATTTGGACCAAGGTATCCTGGATCGCCTCTGCCTATGTCTTGGGTACTGTGGGCGCCTTCGCATGTAAGCGCCTTTCGGTGATTCGGCCCCATCCACGAGGTTTTTGAGACACCATGGGTGGGTTCCCTGCTTTCCCGAGAACAAAACCGTCCAAATTGGGCAGATACGTTTGTGTTTTTCTCTTGGGGGCTTTGCGAGGTCGCCAAAACTGCGGGTTGCAAGTTGTTTGAAAGTTCACCACGCTTAAGCAAGACATTTCACACCGATTCGTGAAAGCCGACAGGCTTAGATTTGGAGGTAAAGAGGAGGCCCGAGCGGTGTGGGCGTGGCTCGTTTTTTTAAAAGCTTTTGCCCTTTTCAGGGTCGCTCACATAGACCCAACAGTTCAAAGGAAACACAAAAACCCATTTTAGGGGTCCACTGATTCTGACACACCCAACTAGCCGGTCATTCTAAGAAGAGGAAGAGGCCATCCGGCCATCCTGACCAAACAAGCACTTTGTAGTTGCTGGTTGGCCCAGCAGTTTGTTATAGTTGGAATCCCGTGGTTTCGCAGGCAGATTTGCTCTGGCAAGAGGACTGTCCAGGGTTTCAGCCAACCGTGTCCAACCCTTGCGCTCGAATGTCTGCGCAAGGATATGAACAACGGGCCATAGGAGTCTATGGTTGATTTCGGTTTCTTATGAAACCAGGGGAGTCTACCCACATGAAACAGTAGGGAAGTCATATTGTCTGTTCCTCATCTGCCAAGGCGCCATTGTGTATGGCATGAGAATGGCCACTTACTTCAAGAAGTTCGACAGTGAGCGTGCTGCGGCTGCAAACGAAGCAGTCGGTCTTGATTGAGCCCGAAGCCACTCCCCCGCAAATCCACATGTAGACCAAGCAAGGACCCCTCCTAAACTTAGAGGAACATCGTCTGCAGGGACTTGATGGGACCATGTGAAGTCTGGCCCTTTTCAGCATGCTCCCACGTTTGGCCAAATGCTCGCACTGCGCGACTTGAGTCGATGTTTTCTTAATGAGGCTCCATGATTTTGCGAAGGACCCAAGTGGAGTTTATGTTTCCCCTGACCAGGTAGTGTGTGTGTGTGTGTGTCACATATGAGGCTACCCTTATCCTTTGGGTGTGTGTGTTTGTATGTTTGAGGGTACCTTTATTCCTTGGTTTCAAGGGAAACAAAGGACACACACACGCAATTCGTTGGATCCCCCCTACTTTCTGAGTCCAGTAGCAAGCCCCCAGGCTCCACGCTCTCCGACTACGTCGCGGTTTTGGACGGAGTGCCCAGGACCGCACTGACGTGCTCGTGTTGGCTCGCGCAGAGCGCCCGAAGCGCGTCTCGGCCATGGGTGGTGGATCTACCCTTCACGGGGGGTAGTAAGGCCTATGTAAACCTTAAGAACTTTGAACCAAACGTCCATGGGTGAAACGAGCGCGCATATTTTTGAAGGGAAGCACTTCAGCAAGGCATGTCTGTGGACGGCACAGAGGGAGAGTTTGGAAAGTCCTCTTCGGCAGCTGTGCAGCTTTCCTCCTGCGGATAAACAGCTTTAACAGGCGCGCCTGTTTCCCTCAGCAGGGCTCCTGGTATTGCAGAAAGGGTGTGAACATTCGCTTGGTTGCACTGTTTGCTTCAAGCACCAGCCCAGAATGCCTTCCCGAAGCAAAACACCCCAAGTTTTACGACTGAATGCGTTGCAGGATGAAAGGCGACCAGGTGGAGGCAGACCTCAAGAAGGCCGGGATCGAGTACAAGTTGCTAGGTCGCTGGCCACAACAGGTGTATGCGTCGAATTCGACGGTCGCTTGTCTTGGCAGAAATTTCGTCTGAACGGAGCCTTGTTGCCTTTGGGATGATGATTTGCCCATGAAGAGGGGGTTGTTTCCGTGAAGAGGACAGGAGCCGCCCTGAATCAATTCCAACTACTCCATGCAGTGTATGCGATATTTACCCATATTGGCCCTCCACCGGGTCAAAGGGTGGTAAACAAGTAGCTACAATTAGCTACATGGATTGTCTGGGAACGTACGTATGCGTGTGTGTGTGTGACGAATGGGTCGAAGCAGAGTGAGCTGCAACTGCCCGCTTTGGAGCCGCAGCGCTCTCCCGGCTCCCGGCTCCCGGCTCCCGGCTCCGGCGCGCGAAATCACCGCGGCAATGAGCGACGTTGTGAACATCGAGGTGACCCTCAAGGACCGTCAAATGGATCCGGAGGGACGCGAAAAGTGAACTGCGAGGACCTACTAAGGTACTAGTCAGAACTCCAGAAAATAGGTCTGATTTCCTTATGCGAGGAACCAGTTCCCAGTACGCACGTTCCTGAGTAAGAATCCGAAGTTAATCGCACAATCTATGACGAGCTCACCGATTCTGGGGGGAAAAGGAGCTTACCAGATAGGCTTACTGTACCCATGAAGCGACTTTCTCTAAATTTCGTGTTTGTGAATGAAATTGCCCAGATCGGGGCGTGGTTCTCCAAGAAAGGGGCGGATCCTTCCAGATGCTCTGAGTCAAAGTCAAAATCACTTACCGCTTGAAAGAGGTGACTTTGGCAAGAGTGGGTTTGTCTCAACATTGGGGCACCCCACAAAATGGCGTACCTTCAAAAGCACACATAAACACACTCAAATGAGTCCGTTTCCGGCTCCCTCCCTCCCCGAGCGCCGTGTCGAATTGTTTGATGCACGCAGACTTGTTTTACCTCAACCCCGACAACTTTTTTTTTTTGTTTTTTTTTTTTTGTTTTTTTTTTTTTTTTTTTTTTTTTTTTTTTTTTTTTTTTTTTTTTTTTTTTTTTTTTTTTTTTTTTTTTTTTTTTTTTTTTTTTTTTTCGTTTGAACCCCATGGAAGCTTACACGTCCATGTTTGTGATTTACTCTCCTGCAGATTAACACAAGGAACCCAGAGACCCAGCCATTGGGGGGGGTTAAGCTTGGTCTTGGTTTTCGTTCCCTTGCGGGAAGATTCGCAACTGGGTTCGAGTTGACTTTGGGGCAGGCACAAAATGGAACCTTGGAGTCCTTTCCATCCAGAAATAGGTTGGGGGTAATCAGTGAGAGCATTTGTTTCAATATGACTTGTCCCGGCTTGACTGGAGGGCCTTGGGCTGGCAAGAAATAGGGGGAGGGGGGGAAGAGTCACTGGAACCGCGTCAGCGAAAATGTTCATCTTTGTTCCCACTCACTCCAAACAGGTTTCCAAGAAACCGCAAATACTCCCGTACGAATCAAGGAGCTCGCAAAGGCTCTTACTCAAAGACCAAACCGGACTCTACCACCTTTGAAGTGTGCGTGTTGGAGCGCCTAAAAGTTCCGTTCCACCGTCCAAGCCCACGCCCAGCAGGACTGCTGGACCTCCAAGACCCTGTGGCGCTCCGCGCCGCTGCAGACCTGCATTTGGGACCTCGGCTTCTCCGCGGGCCTCGATGAGGCGCTTCGGTGGGTGGTTTCGGGGCGAACGCGGTTCGCCAGAGGAAAGGCGACGGGGAGTTTTGGCTTGGGTTTGAGGGGAGGGGCACCCCCAAGTTTTTGGGGCTTGGCTTGAAGGGGACTCCGAAATCCAATTAGTGAGTGGGGTGCTGTAATGCAGTGAAAATGTAATGTATTGCAATGTGATGTGATGTGATGTAATGTGATGTGATGTGATGTGACGTGATGTAATGTCATGTCATGTAATGTAATGTAATGTAATTTATGACTGTATGTATGTACGTATGTACTCTATGTATGTATTGTATTGTATTGTATTGTATAGTATTGTATTGTATTGTAATGTGATGTAGTGTTCTGTAATGTAATGTAATGTAATGTAATGTAATGTATGTATGTATGTAATGTATGTAATGTATGTAGGTATGTAATGTAATGTAATGTAATGTAATGTAATGCAATGCAATGTAATGTATTGTAATGTAATGTAATGTAATGTAATGTAATGTAATGTTATGTATGTATGTATGTATATATGTATGTATGTATGTATGTATGTAATGTATGTACTGTATGTATGTATGTATGTATGCATGCATGTATGTATGTATGTATGTATGTATGTATGTATGTATGTAATGTATGTATGTATGTATGTATGTATGTATGTATGTATGTATGTATGTATGTATGTATGTATGTATGTATGTATGTAATGTATGTATGTATGTATGTATGTATGTATGTATGTATGTATGTATGTATGTATGTATGTATGTATGTATGTATGTATGTATGTATGTATGTATGTATGTATGTATGTATGTATGTATGTATGTATGTATGTATGTATGTATGTATGTATGTATGTATGTATGTATGTAATGTATGTATGTATGTATGTATGTATGTAATGTATGTAATGTATGTATGTATGTATGTATGTAATGTATGTATGTATGTATGTATGTATGTATGTATGTATGTAATGTATGTATGTATGTATGTATGTATGTATGTATGTATGTATGTATGTATGTATGTATGTATGTATGTATGTATGTATGTATGTATGTATGTATGTATGTATGTATGTATGTATGTATGTATGTATGTATGTATGTATGTATGTATGTATGTATGTATGTATGTATGTATGTATGTATGTATGTATGTAATGTATGTATGTATGTATGTATGTATGTATGTATGTATGTATGTATGTATGTATGTATGTATGTATGTATGTATGTATGTATGTATGTATGTATGTATGTATGTATGTATGTATGTATGTATGTATGTATGTATGTATGTATGTATGTATGTATGTATGTATGTATGTATGTATGTATGTATGTATGTATGTATGTAATGTATGTATGTATGTATGTATGTATGTATGTATGTATGTATGTATGTAATGTATGTATGTCTGTATGTATGTATGTATGTATGTATGTATGTATGTATGTATGTATGTATGTATGTATGTATGTATGTATGTATGTATGTATGTATGTATGTAATGTATGTATGTATGTATGTATGTATGTATGTATGTATGTATGTATGTATGTATGTATGTATGTATGTATGTATGTATGTATGTAATGTATGTATGTATGTATGTATGTATGTATGTATGTATGTATGTATGTATGTATGTATGTATGTATGTATGTATGTATGTATGTATGTATGTATGTATGTATGTATGTATGTATGTATGTAATGTATGTATGTATGTATGTATGTATGTAATGTAATGTAATGTAATGTAATGTAATGTAATGTAATGTATGTAATGTATGTATGTAATGTAATGTAATGTAATGTAATGTAATGTATGTATGTAATGTAATGTAATGTATGTAATGTAATGTATGTATGTATGTATGTATGTATGTATGTATGTATGTATGTATGTATGTATGTATGTATGTATGTATGTATGTATGTATGTATGTAATGTATGTATGTATGTATGTATGTATGTATGTATGTATGTATGTATGTATGTATGTATGTATGTATGTATGTATGTATGTATGTATGTATGTATGTATGTATGTATGTATGTATGTATGTATGTATGTATGTATGTATGTATGTATGTATGTATGTATGTATGTATGTATGTATGTATGTATGTATGTATGTATGTATGTATGTATGTATGTATGTATGTATGTATGTATGTATGTATGTATGTATGTATGTATGTATGTATGTATGTATGTATGTATGTATGTATGTATGTAATGTATGTAAGTAATGTATGTATGTATGTATGTATGTATGTATGTATGTATGTATGTATGTATGTATGTATGTATGTATGTATGTATGTATTTGTATGTATGTATGTATGTATGTATGTATGTATGTATGTATGTATGTATGTATGTATGTATGTATGTATGTATGTATGTATGTATGTATGTATGTATGTATGTATGTATGTATGTAATGTATGTATGTATGTATGTATGTATGTATGTATGTATGTATGTATGTATGTATGTATGTATGTATGTATGTATGTATGTATGTATGTATGTATGTATGTATGTATGTATGTATGTATGTATGTATGTATGTATGTATGTATGTATGTATGTATGTATGTATGTATGTATGTATGTATGTATGTATGTATGTATGTATGTATGTATGTATGTATGTATGTATGTATGTATGTATGTATGTATGTATGTATGTATGTATGTATGTATGTATGTATGTATGTATGTATGTATGTATGTATGTATGTATGTATGTATGTATGTATGTATGTATGTATGTATGTATGTATGTATGTATGTATGTATGTATGTATGTATGTATGTATGTATGTATGTATGTATGTATGTATGTAATGTAATGTATGTATGTATGTAATGTATGTATGTATGTATGTATGTAATGTAATGTAATGTAATGTAATGTAATGTAATGTAATGTAATGTAATGTATGTATGTATGTATGTATGTATGTATGTATGTATGTATGTATGTATGTATGTATGTATGTATGTATGTATGTATGTATGTATGTATGTATGTATGTATGTATGTAATGTATGTAATGTATGTATGTATGTATGTATGTATGTATGTATGTATGTATGTATGTATGTATGTATGTATGTATGTATGTATGTATGTAATGTATGTATGTATGTATGTATGTATGTATGTATGTATGTATGTATGTATGTATGTATGTATGTATGTATGTAGTGTATGTATGTATGTATGTATGTAATGTATGTATGTATGTATGTATGTATGTATGTATGTATG